CATATTTGTATTCTGTATGAATAAATTTATAGCGACTTATCATATCATTTAGATCAAAACTTGAAGAAAATGAAAATTTTACTATATGACGATATGTTGTCCTATGATTAATGGCAGTATAACTCAATAGTATGAGTTATCAATATTTTTTTCTTTTATACCATTTTGTAGCGCAAACATTTCTGCATCTGAAACACCAAAATTTTTTTTCTAATGATCTATTTTAGGTCCGAAATAATTTGAGAAAGAAAGTGGGGTATGTTTAAAAAAATATGTTTTTTTGGGTGATTGGATTAATTAGGAAAATAGTTAATTGTTTCCAATAAATGTCATCTTATTTTACATGTATAGATAGAGGACAATGAGATGAACAACCTTTCCTTGAGAAGTACTAGTCGAATTTGTACTGTAGAAGTGAGAAAGGTTTCAAAAGTGGTCTCCAGCTAAAATAGCTGGGATGATCCGAATTACCCCGACAAGTTTTGCTTAGGTGATCCGAATTACCCTGAATCCATTTTCCCTTTAAAAGAACTGGTTAATAGAGGTGTCAGTGTTGTAAATACCACATTACAACAGTTCGTTCATTCATTGAAATATTTTCAGGTCCCATAGAAGACACCTTGGGCTAACCAACCATATCATTTTTTTCTATATAATAATGGATAAAAAATGTGTTATGAGTTGGGAAAATTTGTTCTATACATTTTTGCTGGAGTGATCCGAATTACCCCAACTAGATTGACTGACTGATCCGAATTACCCCATTTGGGGTAATTCGGATCAGCACTTGTAGTCTTTTGCCATTTTAACTATAACTTTTTTCTGGTAAAAGGTTTTTAAAAAATTCTTTCAGCATTAGAAAGAGGACAGTTTGTTCTAGTTGCACTGCAAAAATCACCTTGTTACGACGTACAATGATTGAGAGCGAATAAAAACAAAATCGATTTTCTAATTTTTGATCCGAATTACCCCTAACGAGTGTATATATTGAAGACCAGACGATGGAACATTCGGAAAAATAAAGGAAAGTCAGAAGGTGAGAACTACTGTAGAAAGCATCCTGTTTTAGTAAGACTACCGTGTAATAGCATTTGATCTCTTCTACGATCATCCCCAAGTACAAGAAATACAACAGAAACATCCGAGTATTTATATGAATTCAGTTGAAAGTTTTAAGCAATTCCGAAAATTCCAATATATTTGAAACAAATCCTCTCGAGTTTTCCAATACATTCAAGATGAATCATCTGTTTATTCTACTGTTTTTTTTTAAAGAACACGATGTGTGGGAACAGGTGAGTGCATTGTTTTTCACAAATTATTTTTCATGACAAAAAGATACCTTAAGATAGACCTCTCGTTTTCGAAAAAAATCAAGCCCTTCTATTGTCAGAACAAACAAAAATTACTGAAATGAAAATTCTGCTTTGGAAAAAAACACAATATCCATATTTCACGCACGCATGACTTGTCAATGGGTAGAAAATTAAGTGTTTTCGAACACAGTTAGACAAACATGGATGACTCTGAGCTAGAATATGCTCGAGAAATCTGTCAGTTTTTCTCTCTAGTTTGTTACCATCATGATTTTTTAAGTTGAAATATTTCTATGGCAATGAAATATATAGACATTTTTCCGGAAATTTTCCACAAATATGAGTGAGAGTGAGGGAGCGTAAGGACTTGAGTAAAGAGAGGATCCACGCCCATACAGATCACCGCCCATATGACCTATTTGAGTATCAAGATAATTGATATTTTTACTAATTAATATTGTCAGTTGAATATCAGGATGTTGTCAATTGATAGTGTTGAATATAGCACAAAGTTTATCATATGACATGTACCACGTTATGAACAGGTGATCAAAGTATTTGTTATGTAATACAATAAGATCTCAGTAGAAATTTTGTTATCAATAATATATGGAGATGTTCTCAAATATAATAGTCTCTCTTGAACTGGAACCACTTCCTTAAATCTGCCGATAGAATTTGTGTTTGTAGACACAATATTGATTTTCAAGAATGACTTGAACAAGATCAATAGTCATTTGAATAGTTATTCATCTAATCATTTTTTTTTATTAGTCTTATTCATAACGATCTTTCAGAATTTGAACTAATGAATGAACAAATACGATAGATAGATTCAACCAAAGTAAAGATATGTGTGTTCAATTTTCATAGTAAACTGAATGCCACCGAAGATTATATTAAAATGTGGACAGTTATAATTTTATTTCTGCATAGTTATACATGAACTATTTCGCTTTCTATCATAGTTTATTAAAGAGAGCTATCATGAGTACCTACAGCATTCGATTATATACATGTTGATCTATAGATAAATATCCATTAGAAACTTGGAATACTTTTCTTCTTGTTTTGTTTTCCTTTCTCTGCATAATTTTAAATATATTTCCTAAATCCCACTATAGAAAATTACATTAATCAAACTTGACGTTTTCAGAACTGCTCACTTGGTTATTTAATAATATGTAGAGTCCCTTCGGTAATAAAAATTTTTATTAATCAGATGTAAATTATTCTTTTAAATATCTTGTTTGTATTGAATCTCCTATTGCCTTCTGCTTTACTTGCTGACATAATCTCTTCATAATCTTTATTAATAAGAACATCAACTAATGCCAATCTTTTAGTAAATTATTCGCATTAATCATCATTACTCAAAAACAAAAACTAAATGATAAACTTTTCTCTTATCGACGTATACCATTATTGTATATGCATATATATAGTTTATCGCATGACATTTTCTAATACGATATTTTCTAGAATGGTCAAAACAAAATCTTTAATATCATCATTTCAAACTATTTTTCTTTACTCTATCTTAAATAGTATATTATTCTTTTTTGTTTTATCGTCATGAAATTTGAAATAATAAAAAACATAATAGAACAATAATTATATATCTTTACAAAAAATGTTGACGCAGTAAAGCTGATAAAATAATTGTCATAAAAAGAAATTTTGATGAAAAAATTCGATTAGACTCATTACAATAATCTGTTTGACAGCACACACTACTTGAAAATGTTCCAATCGTATGTGAAAGTGCACAACGTTTTTTTGCACATCCTCGATATACATTTCCTAAAATCAACAAAATAAGATTTTCTATTGATATTTATTGATTTTATTGTTTACCAAGTGAAACTGATTTCCAACAATAATATTCACAATCAATTATTTCCACATTATCTGATGTATAATCGTAGCTTTTGAATGATAGGCCATTAGTTAGCGTTTTACATTCGCTTGTAGCATCACATTTATAACAGCGAATAGTGTTTGTAAATAACGGAAATAAAACTATGAAAAGCATCGATATCAGAAAGAAGTTCATTCTCTAAAATGAAAACAAAAAGAAAAAACAAGATATGCTTCGAGCTATTGTCTGTTTTATCTTAATTTACTTAAAAAAATGTTACAACCATATATGATTGAATAAATAAAGCATGCCAATATGACATATATGCTTGAGTTCAAAAGCTATTGTTTAATGATTGACAATAGACATACTCACTCGAGGAAAACTGAAAGACATTCATTAAATATGGTAATAATGAATAATGGTCATATTGTTATTTATTCGCAGAATAAATTCAACATTAACCAATCGATTGATGACTTTCACTGATTGTGTTCAAATAGGAATATAATTTAACAGATAATTAAGAGACTTGTTTCTTTCCCTCGAAATCTTATCTTAAGTTAGAAGATGAGTACACTTTTAGCAGAATACAATCGATTAGGCACTAGAAAATCGAAGGAAGAAAACATACAAGATCTATTCGTTATGTTTTCTCAATAAAACTGATTGCTAATGGGTCTATTATAATTTGTCAAAAAAACCGGAAAGAAGATAAGGAAGCAAAAGAGAATTTCTTTTCCTTTTTCTATGTTCTTTCTATCTAACCTATTTTCGTCTAATTCGATCTTTCTTTCATCTTCATCGATCTAGATAAAGTCTAGTGTATAATGTTAAATCAGGCATATGATATAACAAGAAGAAAAAAAAGAGAAAAAGAAGGAAATTATTTGAGTAATGGGATCTCTAAAAGCATTTACGATAATAGCTTGTAGCTGTTTCTGTCTTTTTCTCGATCTATTTCTTCTCTTTGTCATTTCCTCATAAGTTGAAGCTATAGACAATAAGCAAACATGGTTAGAATTTCAAAAATGAGAAAACAAATCGATCACAAGAAGTAATCGCAACATTCTCTCTATACACCAAACAACTTTCATTTTTTATGGGCAATACAACAAATAGCAACAGTGCACCACCATCACCTGCTGGAAAAGCAATAAGTAGACAATCTTCTGCAACAAAACAAATTCATATTAGTACAAATCATGCTGATGGATTTTACTTTACTGGTGAACGTTTAACTGGTACAGTTAAAATTCCAACATCATTTTTACATTGTAATCTATACAATAAAAATTCTCGAACATCAACAGATTTATTTAATAAACGATCATTACGTAATCCTATTATTATTGAACTTGTTGGAGATGCAACTTATTCAGCTGAAGTTGATACTGCTGCTGATAGTGATGGTCATGCAACACATAAAGTTAATCTATGTCGACAATGTTCTATTGTTACTATAAATCCAAATAAAACTGAATCAGAAACAACACTTAGTCCATTTTCATCATCAGATATGAAATTAATACCAATAACTTTACCAACTGTTCTTAATGGTACATTCCAATTACATATTCCCGATGGACTTCCACCATCGTTGACAAATAATCGTACACCATCAGTTGTTTACACATTAGAATTAAGGTTATCATCGAGTCGTTATCGTTATCAAATACCAATCACACTCAGTGGACGAGGTTCTATACCTCATACAATGACTAATATTGAATTAAGTGACAGTGCTGTCAATAGAAATGATATTTGTTTACGAGCTTATTTGTCACGAAACGTTTATCGACCTGGTGAACAAATTGTAGTTCAAATAAATTATTCGAATCCTCAACAACGTTTTGTTCGTTCAATAACAATACGACTTGTACAATTTTATCGGATACATAACGATCAAAATCGTTCAATTTTAGATGGAAAAGAATGGGCATTTGATATTCTAACAATGTTACCACCACGACAATGGACTGGTGAAGCACATTTACAATTGCCTGGTCAACCATTACAAGCTTCATATTCAACAAATTCTGTTGGTACAACACAAACAATTGAATGTGAATTAGATTATCGAATTTTAATTGATCTTAATGAAAAAAAAGGAGATGATATTAATCTAACACTAGCACCAATTCAAGTAATTTATCATAAATAAAAATTCTCCTTTTATTTTCTTTTGTTGTCGTTGTTTTTTTTTTAAATGTGTATACATAAGTAGTTTTTTCCTGATTGTATTTTCCTTTTCTATCTAATTAGCTTGTTTATGTCAGAAGAATATGCAATGAAGCACTATCTATTAAAAACGAATGATCGTCATATAAATAGCTTGTTGTTTTTTGTATAACATTGGTCAGATACACCTCATATTTTATCCAATATGCCTGAAGAAAAAAAAGACTAACAATGGGATAGAATTTTTTTCTTTGAATGATATATCCATTAGTTGATCGTTCATTTTTCTTACACATACGGAAGCTTTGTTTCTCTTTTTCCATTGTTTCTATATACATATTTATACAAATCAAAAAAATTGTGTGTTTATGAATGCAAAAAAAAACTTTTATTAGTTGAATCAGCACGTGAATAGACAAACATGGACTAGTGTATAATTTTTTTTGTAACAGTTGTCAATACTAATATCGGCGTTGTATCATCTACCTATGCGATTGCTATTATATTATAGAAAAGAAAAAAAGTGAATAATGCTCACGTGGTTGTAGATTTATGTTGCGCGTTTTTTCTTCTCTGCCTTTATAAATCAATGTAGAGAGACTCATGCGAGTTGGTATATTCTTTTTTTAATGTATGTGTAGCCGTTAGGGTCTTTATAGCGAAATAGTAAAATGAAAAAGGAAGGCAGCATAATTGGTAGACGCGCAGGTAAGCGAAGAAAGCAAAAACTTACATGTGCTTACACTTTTGATTTTGTTGTTTAGCGACAAAAGCATTAACAACAAAGAGAACAAAATATTCAAAATAAAAGAATAAATCACTGAATCACTCAATTATTCATTTTTCCTATTACTTTTAGAGTTTTAGATCATGAAACGACAGCAATTATCATGCACAGTATGTTAAATAATTATTCTGTCTCGTTTCCTTCTCGTTATGATCAACTATATACATTGAACGCTTTTCTAAACGATATTAGTATTGAATGTAATACTCAACATAAGTTACCCATTATAGTTAATATAACATCATTAAATAGTTATGGACGATCTATAAAAAATCTTCTATCAAAAACTACTTCATTATTGTTATTAGATATTTGTCAACTGGATTCAGTTTTAGCTGAATATCACCGTTCATCTGATGGACGTCAGCATTTTCATCGACCTCGGTTAGCATTAACACAAGGAAAAGTCTCAGCAAAAGCATCCGCAAAATTTCTTAGTATGAAAAAATTCTCTAAATCACTTGCTTCATTAACTACAGCAAATATGGTATCTAATTTGAGTGATGATGATAATTTAGATGGTGATTATGATCATACACATAATCAACGAAATTTAATTAAAAATTTAAACGAAAAACGTTCATCATCAACTCCACTTTGTCGTATACCAGTACAATATCAAAGTTATTTTGAATTACTTAATGAAAATGATCAACCAATCCAGCCATGTCATAAATTAAGTGATCTAATTATTAGTGAACAAGATGCTAATGATTCAGCAAATCATGTTGACAAATGGCCACATGCTGTTTTTCTTCGTAGTTCTTGTAATGCATATACAAAAAGAGATACTTCTGCAATTTTATATTCAACAAAGAATGATCAGAACTCAAAATTTGCCAGCAATACTGATCCTATTTATGAATCAGTAGCTGATTTAGAATTACAGAAGAATCTTATTGAATTAAATGATGATATACAAACTCTTCAACCAGGACAAATTTTAACTATTTTAAATGTTTGTTATGCTTTTCGTAGACGAATATCGGATAAAGAAATAAAAGAACAACAACAACCAACATCTCCTTCAAGTTCAATTTTATTATCAACAAATTGGATGAGAGAAAAATCGAAACTATTATTTCCAAAAAAACGTCGGCAAACAATTAATATTGTTAATATATTAAATGAAAATATTCAAAGTAAAATTATTCCAAACAAATCAGAACCTTGTGTAGAATGTCAAACTCAGCAAGGTGATCATGTTTATATATTTCTTGATGAATCTGGTAGTTTTAGTCCACTTAATTGTCAAACAAATGATTCCAAATTAAATACAGAATTAAATCGTATGGATATACCTAGTGTTTTTAAATTAGAAGATATACTTGCAAATTTTCGTTTTCCAATATCTGTTCGTCTTCTGGATGGTTTGAATTCATTGGATAATATTAATTCAACAACAATTCTTACTCGAGATGAATCATCACGTTGTATATCAACTAAACTTCGTTTACTTATGCAATATAATGAAAATATTGTTTTTGCTTGTCCACTAAATTTATCATCACAAAAACCTCAGAAAACATCATCACCATGCATTGTTATTCCTCTTTCAGTAAATGCGGATATTGAAATTCAACCTTGTTCAAACATGTCTGATGTAGCTAAAACTGAAGCTTTTCAAAAATTACTTGAAACATGTTGTCAAGTAATTAAACAATATCAAACCGAAATATCACTTATTAATATTCCTCTTCAACAAAACAATAATACAAATAAACGAAAACCACCATTATGTAAAAAACGTTCTCAATCTGATTCTAATTTAGACGAAGTATCTAAAGACAAATTTCGACATTCCGATCAACAATCACATAGTATCTCGCATTCTTTTGATGATTCATCATCTACCCTATATACTGCATACCCTTATCGAGATAGTAGCGAAATGCTCGAACAAAATTTATCACCGGACGCTAAACAACCAAGCTCAACAAGCAGAGGTTCAGATTCTCATGGAAAAATAAACAAAAATCAACAAAGAAGATCTTCTGCTGATGGATATAATTTCGAAGACGAAATATATGAAGATGTTGACAAACTTTATGATTATATTCGTTCCGGTGATATGACATACGATGTAGAAAGAATTAAAGCTAAAGAACAAGTAGCCAGTAATTCTCATGCAATTGATATACCAAGTTCAACAGTAAGAGTTTGTTTATTAAAAATTTAATATCTCAATGTTTTTTTGTATATTTTTCTAATTAGGAGACTGAACAAAAAATCTCACCAGGAAATAATAGTCCAGGAAGAATGATGACACATCGATTGCATCCGAAAGTTAATAATTCTACAGCACTTGCTAATAGTTTTGAAATGTATCAATGTCGAAATGAGGGAAATGTTGATGATGACCAAGCTCGTGCCCTTTTTCTAGCACAAAGACAACGTTTCAAAGATGATTCAAAAGATTCTTCTAATGTAAAACCAACAACACCAATGAAAAGCCTAAATAAACATTAAAGTTTCATCTTCTTTTATTCTATTCAATCTAAGAATTAAGCAGTATTATATATTATTTTTGAATATAATATATTTGTAAATTACAATAAAGAACATTTCAAAAACTAATGTAGGCGCGAGACGTACTGGGTTAATAATTGAATTTACTAGTATATATGAAAAAAATCATTTTGAAACCAATGATTTCCGCAGAACATCCAAAAAAAAATGTATGAAAATGATGTGTTATTCCGATAAAATTTTGATAATGACTAAGAAGATTTGCTTAATAATCAACAAAATTCCATATTACTCGATCGAACAGATACGCAATTTTATTTTGCTCAGCATTAGAATGTGAGAAGGTAATCATTCAGCTTTTTTTTGAAATATAGCTTTCAAGTTATTCTATCCAAGAGACATGTCAAAATCCAAATTTCATCGGAATCACACACCATTTTCATACATTTTTTTTCAATACTTTGCTGAAATCATTGGTTTCAAAATGATTTGTTCTCTATTTTATCAGAGAAAAAAGACGCTTCCATGTCTTCTCGTTAGATTGCTGAAAATCCCAGATCGCTAGTTGCTTGCATGCTCGACTTATTCAGCTTTTAACTGAGTATATTTAAGTACCGCGCCGACATTAGTTACATTTAAAACAAAAACAAATGATCAATCTTTTCCTTCATTTTTGACGTCATAGATAAGTGGTGTAGATAGCAATAAAAGTAATCACAAATCAAACTAAGCATTCAATCGAGTCATGACTTTCGAAGTAGATCAAAAAAATCTCAATAACTATCATCGTGGATAATCAAAATAAGAAACAACTATACAATGCGTACTTTAATTATAGCATAGTAGAAAAAAAAAATTTTTGTCATAATATATCATTAAACGGTTCATCAAACACTAAAAAAGTCTTTCGTAATTATATAAAAAAATCTCAGATAGTTAATACGATTCCAAGCATCTTTATAGTGATGCTTCATATGCTTTTGAAAGTTGTCATTTTGTGATATGATGACCTCGAGCATGAAAAATCAGAAAAATATTCATTGAAACGGTAGATGAAAATATCGAAGTCAAACCGATACAATCCGTTTTATGTTTTTTACTGAAAACTATTCAAAAATGGTAAATCTTTGTTGGCTTTATTTCTTTTCAAACATCGCCATGATTCAAACGAAGATAGCAATAACAATCAATCATTACATTCTCTTTAATCAAATGATTTTATATAGGGCAACAGTGAAAGACTACTTGTCGAATATAATCGACAATAAAACTATGATAATATGAGTAAAGAGCAAAGAAAAATCCATGAATGTATTGAATAAAAGGTAGACAAGAAAGAGAAGATCACAATCAATCAGGGATAAGAGAAAAGAGCGTGACAAAAAAAGGCTAAGAAATGAGTTATTGAATGAAATATTCAAGTAAAAATATTGTCGTGATGAAAGTATGTCTAATGAAGCATACATGAATGAAAATTATGGTAGAAACTAAAAAAAAACAAATAATAATAAACAAAATAAATAACCGTGTAAAAGAATATAGAAAAAAAATTATAAACATACATAAACGTACGCCTAATGTGCATATATAAATGAGGTTACATTGCGTTCCTCCACGCACTAGTGCATGCCTATGCAACGTTGTCCAAATCTTCACAATTGGATTCGTGCTGAAAAAAACCGAAGAGACGATTTCAAGTTTTCGAAACATATTCACCGAGCAAGCAAAAACCGAGGCATGTGAAGCGCACAAGCCTGAGCAAAAGTCGTTCCTTTACACTACCGATTTTCTGCTAGTTATCAGGATGACTTTTAAATTTCCACTAGACAAATTTGTACGGCACATTTTAAATGAAAACAGTTCTCTCTTCTTTCAGAAAGTAATCCAAAACGAATTGAACGTAAAAGCGATCTTTATATAGAAAACGACATGAATGAATAATATGAAAGACAGATTTCTAAAATGAATAATGAATTTAATATCTTGATTTTTGTTGTCCTTTAAAAATGCCACACGCGTTAATATCAACAAAAAACAAATAAACAAACAAATCCATGGTCAAAAAGCAAACATAACAACAAAACAAACAAAAAAACCCAATTGTAAATTTATGTTTATGGAGTAGCCATTATATTTCGACAATTACGTAATGCAAAAAATGATGTTTGAACACGTTTTTCAAGTTCAACTAATTCTTGTACGGTTGGTGCTAATGTATCGACATGACCTTTAGATGCCGGTACTAAAACACACGAAACTCAATTTATAAATATCATTTAAAATAAAATCTATTCTAACCTGCTTGTTTTCGTTTTTCACCATAAATAACTTTCCCATCGAATTCATCAACTGGTATAGCCATTTTTTCATCTGTTTGAGAAATCGTTACACCTATTTATAATAAAAATATTAGAGAAAAAAAAACACAAATATTCTTTTGTCGGTCTTACCAAGATGTTCTTCAATATCAGCTAAATAAGTCATTTCAGTATACCATTTACAACAACCATTTTGTTCAACTAATTTTGTATTATGACAATGTTTACCTTTACTTGGGCATGTATGATACCAGACTTTTTCTGGTACAGTCGAAACAAAACTTATTGCTAAACCCATTCTAAATATCAAAGAAAAATGATGAAACTAATGAAACTACTATCAATATCGAAATATAATATGCTCCATTGTTTTTTTAATAAATTTTCATAGGAACATCATAGAGATTTGTGATTTCCACCATTCGAGAGAAAAGATCCAGGATCACTAAAGTATATTGCTTAGCAATTGACCTATTAAGTGAACTTTTGCAGTTAACCAAGGGTAATTCATCATGATGGGTCGAATGGTGATTTATCTTTGCCTAACTGCTTTTACTAGTAATCACAGGTTAATTGGTTGAAATTGTGTATCTCAAGAAAGTCTTATAACTCTCGAACGAAACAAGCTAAGAATGTCGGCCATGTCTATATTGAAGAAGAAGAATTTTTTCTATCAAATGGTTCTGTCAAAAGTCTAAAATGAAAGGAAAATAGCTTCATAATATCGTTTTCAAAAAACAAACAATGGTTCCATATTATATTTTGAAATGGATAGTAATTATAAATTACCGTTCTGCTCGTCCAACACGTCCAATTCGATGAATATAATTTTCTTTTTCATCAGGTAATGTCATATTAATAACTAAACATAAAAATTAATAAATCTATATACATATATTTCTTATAACTTACCAAATGGTAGTCCACTAACATCAATACCTCGAGCAGCCACATCAGTACATATTAAAAATCTAACTTCATTAGCTTTAAATCTTTCTAAATTTTGTTGTCTTTCATCTGGACCTCGATCCGAATGTAAACATACACATGATAATCTATGTTTATTCGCTCTTGGTCCTAATTTTATATTTTACACAATAAAACCTTTCAATTAATAATCATTTCTTACCACCGCCTTGTTTAATAAAATATCGTTCAAGATTATCACAATCAAGTTTTGTTCGACAAAATATCAATGCACGATCCATTTTAAATTTATCAATAGCATGTAAACAATATTCACCTTTCAGAATTTTTATTGCTTCAGAAAGAGTTTCTATGTATCAAAATAAATGATGATAAGACAAAAAAAAAAACCAAACAACATATTTAAATAAAAATCTTACCTTTTGATTCACTTTGAAAATTTAATTCATCATTTAGATGAACATCATCAGTTTTTATATGATTACGTAATCCACGCCATAATGTATTTTTCTTTGGATCAACCAAACATACCTACAAGAAAGATAAAAAATAATCGATCAATTAATAGAAATTATTTAACTTACCACATGATGAACAGTTTCTGGCACAGCATCTTGTCCTTTAAGATCAACCCATGTTGGAAAATGCATAATTGAATCAGCCAATTTTTTAACTTCAAAATTATGTAATGTTGCCGAACAAACAATCATTTGTAAACGCTTTCCGTCTAGTGTAACATTAGGTATCTTTTGATGTAATTTCATTATTAAATCTTTATATCCTTGAGATAATAAACCATCCTAAAAAAATATCAAAAGAAATAATTATACAAAATAATAGAATAAATTTTAAAAGAATTATTTTTATTTACAGCTTCATCAAGAATAAAAAATCGCATATGTTTTAAATCGATTTCACCACCACTGATTAATTCATCTAGACGACCTGGCGTAGCAACAATTATATCGACACCTTCACGTAATACACGTGTTTGTTCACCAATAGCTACACCACCAATAATGACGAGTTCTCTATTTTTCATAAATTGAATTAAAATATTTTTTCTTTATTTCTTCGAAACTTACCGAACTCGAGGGTTATTCATATATTTTTGAAAAACTTGAATTTGATTTGAAGTTTGCTGAGCTAATTCTCGAGATGGCTACAAAAATATAAAGTGAGGAGAAAAAAGTTTACAATAGTTATATTTTTGCATTTTCTTCTCAATAGTAATAGCTAGAAAGAATCTGAAAAGTTGATAAATTTTGTTGGATTTGACACTTTGAGGTCTTCTATCAATTGAATGCAGTTCAATGAAGAGATCTTCCTACCTCCATAATAATTGCTAATGGTGCATTTGATGGACGTTGCCTCGCTGTTACATTAGCACCAATACCTGTTACCTGAGATTCAACTAAACATTCTTTTGGTGCATTATCAATTGATACAGCACCAGTCTAAACATCAAAATATATCGATTATATTTACTGGATCATAAAAGACATACTGGTGTTGCTCTAAATGGTTCTTCACCAAAATTTACTCGAACATCACATGATTTCAAACAAACATGTGCGAAAAATGTATTTTCTTGTAATGGACGAGGAATATCAAATGCATGACCAAGATCTTTGCCTAAATATCAAAGACAAGTTATATATTTGAATATAATATTTGAATAAACCATTTTTAAAAAATCGAATTTTCATTTGATCAAGATCAATTAAACTTCCGACAACATCATTAACACCATATGTTTCACCATAATCATCAAATTGTTTTGAAAATGATTTTTTTCCTGTACCACCATAACCAAAACCTTGATTATCAGTTCCAAGATCGAGTGATGCTGTTGGTACTGACCAACCAATACGTGTAATGCCATTAGGATCTGTTTGAGTTATTTCAAAATAATATCGACCTAACATAATGAAAATTGTACAAAATAAAACAACATCAAATAGTGTAACATTCTAACAGGTCAAGATCGACTATTTACTTGTAATGAAGAAATATTTTTTAAAAATTACCCGTTTAAAAAAAGTTTATTGCTTTCCCGATAAAGTTTTGCTTATTTACCTTTGCCTTTAACTCCTTTCGTTGAACGAGCACCATTCCATACTCGTTGATCTCGACTTTGACATGTTAAACCATCAGTGTCGATAGCTAAATAATATTAATTAATTAATATAATAATAATCGAAAAAATTTACCTAATCCATGTGAACGATCATGAAAACTAAGTTGTACTGATATTGAGGTATGATGTGAACTAGCTTGTTTTCCTGTACGAGGACCTTTATTTCCTTCTTGAATATCTCTCAATGTTTCATGCACAATTTGTAATATTGGTAAACAGAATGCACCGGTTTTTCCACTACCTGTTTCGGCTGCCTAAATTTCAAAAAAATAAAATAAATATGTTTCTTTAATTCTTTTTATTTCATACCATTAAAACATCACCACCACCAAGAATCATAGGTATAGCTTCAGATTGAACATCTGTTGGTAACAACCAACCCATGTCATCTACAGCTTTTGCTATTTCAGGTTGTACACCTAATTCTGTTTCGAAAGCGTTCATTTTTTTTTCTTTTTAATCTAGAAAACAAAACAAAACCTAATTAAAACCCATGATATGTTTAACTTCATTTAATGTTTTATCAGCTATTTCTGTAGCACGTTCACGACCCTTATCTAAGATACTTAAAAGATATGTACGATCATTCATTAATTTTAAATATTCTAGACGTTTTGGACGAAAATGCTCAATAATTATTTCTGCAAGACGTTTTTTAAATGCAGCAGTATTAAGATTATGTTGTTGTGCTTCAGCAACGATATTTTCAATTGATTGATTAGTCATACCAGAATAGATATCAATTAAATTAGATACACCTGGCCGTTGTTCACGATCATAAGAAACTTGAGCATTAAAATCTGTTAAAGCTTTCATTACACGATCTTGAATTATTTTCTCATCATCCATTATATCAATACGTGAACGTTCTTCATAATCAGATTTAGACATTTTCTGCTCAGGATGACGAAGACTTCGAATACGCATCGTTTCAGCTATTGAAATAAAAAAAAAGAAATATTTAAAATAAACAGAAATAAACTACGAACTAGCCATCATTTCTGGAACAGGAAATATATTTTGTTTATAATAATGATAGAATTTTTCAATCATATATGTGCATAATTGTAAATGTGGAATTTGATCTTCACCAATAGGTAAATGTGTTGTTTTGAAAAGAAGTATATCAGCTGATTGTAAAATTGGATAGAGAAAAAGACCTAATGGTACTGAAGTTTCATCTTTTACTTTTGACTAAAAATGAATGCTTGGTTTATTTATGTCTTTTTTTTTTTTCAAGAAAATATAAATTTGAATATACTTTATATGTTGGAATATGACCAACTTTTTGAACAGTAGTCAATGTACCAAGTAACCAAGATAATTGAGTATGATGATGAAGCTTAAAGAAAAAAAATATTTTTCGATAATTCGGAAAATTAAAGCATTAAGAGAGCAGCTATGTTTACCACTATCCAGAGATTAGTTTTTCCCAGGAAAAGAATCTCTCTTAAATGTGCTTGACTCAATGTAGTTTTTGACGTTGGTTCGAAATGTCATATTGATTTCACTTTAAAATTATGTCATGACAATGAAAACCGTTAAAAAACTTCTTTTTTTTAATTATTGGACATTCATCAAAACTATTATCTAAGAGACAGATATGGAGTCTATTTCATCCTGATAGTATCATTTAATTTGGCACTTCTTGAGGCTTAATCTCGACAAGCAATAGATTGTTATTAAATTGACATTTTAGACTTTCATACACTTGATAATCTCATCATTGTTCTCTTAATTCTTACATCCGATTGTCGATAGATAATACTTCGTTTTGGATCTATACCACAAGCGATTAATGATGCAGCTGTTTCTAAAGTTGATTTTCTAAAAAAAAAACATTATCAAAAAAGTTTTTTTTTAATTGTATTACTTCGTACCTCAATGTATCAGGTTCACGTGGAATAGTAACAGCATGTAAATCAGCTAACATAACAATTAAATTATCTCCATTATTTTGCAAGTCGATCCATTTTTTAATTGCGCCTATGTACAAGAAATAACGAGGATTGAGTTTTTGTTTTTCTTTAAAATTTACCTAAATAGTTTCCAACATGTGGAACATTCGATGGTTGTATACCACAAAGAATACGTCGCTGAAACATCTACAAAACTAAAACAACAACATAAGATCTCAAAAAAATAAAATAGTGATAGGAAATGCATTAGTTTGGTTTTTTAATCATAAATAGAAATTTATACATTATTAATTAATGTTCTTATCGATAATAGTTGCATGAAATAGTAGTTCAGCCGCTTCGATGGCTGCTCTACTTTCAATTAACTTTAATTCATTACCACAAGTATTATGAATATTAATTGATTCAGATAATTCTACAACCAAAAAAAATTTTAAATATCAAAATCAATCGATAAATGATAAAATTTACCGATTGTTTTCAATAAAACTTGATGAACAATAGAAATTGATTTTTCACAAGTTGACTGCCAATAGAAAAAATTCATCAACGACAAATAATAGATGAGACTTACTATAAGGTTATTCTCTTTGTGAAACCATGCAAGAATTAAAGCAGAAAATAAATCTCCTGTACCAGTAAAACAACCTTCGAGATATGGAAAATCAATTCGAAATGTTTCATATTGATTATTGGAAGTTTTTGAACTAGCATACATTTGTAACATATTTTTTTTGCCACCTAATTTTGCTGCTGATATACTTGAAAGAATAACATGAGATGGACCCATATTATTTAAAGATTGTAATGATTGCCAAATTATTTGTTCTTCATTACCATCATGATTAAATTGTATCTGTTTTCCAATCAATTGTCTAAACTAAATCAATCAAAACTTTAATAAGTAAATTTTTACTTACTCTAATTCAAAATCATTTGGTGTTACAATATCTGCTAGAGGAAGTATTGTATTCTTATACATTTCAACACATGATTGATCAACATACTAAGATATAAAAATGAATAATCATAATATGATTCTATTACTTACAAGTTTCTCATTGTCTCCTATCACTGGATCACAAACTAAAAGATAAACGTCGTCAAATAGAAAGGAAAAAATGAAATTCATTTTCTTTTTCGAGTATTTACGGTACTTCACATGAGGAGATTTTGATTTGATTAGACGCACATATTCAGCAACAACATGCAATAGTTCACCGGAACCCATGTAACCCGTTAGAATATAATCATATTCGAAAATTTCATTTGCCATTAAACCTTGAAATATAGCTCGAAGTTCATCGACACTTAATATACTACCTTTTACTACATTATATCCTAATTAATAATAAAAATCAATTGTAAAACACAAGAAAAGAATTATCAAAAATAATGAACCAGTATGATTTGAAAAATGAACAGAATTAATCACATCAACTTCAAAACCATAAAGCTGAAAATATTTATATTGAATATTGCAATTCATATTTTTCATATTAAGAAGAGAAAGAAACCTGTAGGATAAAAGTAGCACATTTATTGCCAACAAATCCATGAACAACATGACTTTGAATACATAATACTCGAGGTATTCGTTTACTTTTAATAGACATAATAAAAGATAGATGAACAGAAAACAAAAAAAGAACGATTTTCTTGCTGCAATATTTCGAGTTCCAGTTACTTAACCATAAAATATAACATGGACTTCCACATACATTAAACCAGAGGTCGCACTCTTCGAAATATACGAATGAATGAAGCACTATCGGAATAGACTAGACTGATGGTTCCCACTGATTTTTCCACGTAGCACTAAATCTATACAGCAAAATCGGACAACAAAATTTCATACTGAAATTTTGCTCATGTGTATTTCTCGTGGTCATTGGAACACTATAAATGTTTCAATGTAAAAAAAATATTTTCTTTTTGTGATATTGAATTATTTAAAAAAAGTCCATTTTTTTTTAACTTTATAGATTATGAGACAATTTTTCTGAGAATAACATCTCCAACATAGAGACAAAATAGCATTGAAAACCACATGGAACAGTTAGAAATTTTTCCTTGTAAGAATAGCAAGTTTCTATAAGAAATTCATGTTTTTGAATTCATGATCTTTTGTGTTATACGATGCTTTTGTTATGTCGCTACAAATATACAACGAATTTATCTGGCATAAAGAAAAAAGAAACATAAATGACGTCATAAACAAGCATCTAAAGGTAGTCGTGACCATATTGAATATTATCATTTTTCGTATACAAAAAAGTTAAAGAACAAAAATGTTGAGTTGCTGTAAGAAGACAAATACGTACGAACATATTGCAAATATATCAAGTGAGTTATGCAACTCATATGACTATAAAAGAAGGAATATATAAATTTATCAGTACAGCACGATTTATCATAGAAACAACCAAGTTCAAGGTTAGTTTACATGCAAGAGTTGCTTTCACATATATTCACACTCAAAATATTCTTTCAGTTACTTTTGAAAGAAAAAAGTTGAACACATTTCTAAGATCAATTGAGAAATAATAATAAATAATAGAGATGAATGCAATGTAATCATGGTTACTTATTAATACTTTTTAGCAAAAAAGGGAGTTCATCTAGAGTGTGTTTGACTATTTTCGAGAAACAATAGTACGATTGACAAAAGAAAAAACTGTATCGAGCATCCAAGATTTATAAGTGACCATATCTGTAAATATTATTCTCAATGATTTTAAAAGGATAGGATATTCAACACATTTTGTGCTGATCGAAAGTGCTCACTGATGTAGCATTATTTCAAAAAATCCTTTTCGAGATTTGTTATTTAGCCTTCATACTACAAAAAAAAATAGTAAAACAATATGTTCTTTTCCTTCAACATAGGAGAAATGTTTCATAGTTTATTAAAAGATATTTTATCGGTGATGCGTAACAACGAAGAAAATCAGTTATTTCTGATGCAGTTTCTTTACAATGATTTCACAAAGATAAATGAACAAAAACGCTACTAATACTTGCAGAATATGCTAGCACCGCCAGTCACGATGAACGATCTTTTCACAATTAAGAAAGTATGAAACGATTTTCATGTTCTTTATTGAAACAAAAAAAAGTTTGAAGATGCAATTGTAGTCCCTGTTCGTTCGAAGTAATATAAAAGTTCATTGATGGATTAACAAAAGACGAATCAGTATCAATTATACTTTATATAATGGACTGGAAACCACTTAGTAAATATCTCTATACCGTTCTGCATGATGCGTTACGATCATCAGATGGACAACAGAAATTTCAACTATGATATTTGTATTTGAGACACTTTCTCAATGTATTATTTCACCTTTCATCGCTTCACAATTGCAAGAGAAACCATTATCTCATGGACTTTCTCATCTCGCACTATTACCCTTGAGACATTACAATCAGAACTATTATTAAATGAGATAAGTACCAGAACAATGTTTAACATATAACGTAGATCACACAGAGACATTTGCAAACACTATTACTTTTCTGAGAAAGATAAAATCTTACTTCTGACTGTTACTCACTTTAAAGTAGTGAATAGTTTTACGTTAGTTTTTACTCAAGAATATTGAAACTATCTTTGAAAAGCCAAAAGAATTGGTTTGAACGGAAAGTTTTTCTGTACATTTTCCTATTTTTACTATTGCGCTTTGAAACTAAAAGGGATGTGAGTGTGGACATGGATGTGGGGTGTGTGTTGGTGGAGGGCATGAGTGTGTGTCTGGCTGTGGTTCGTTCTTCGCATACCCACATCCATCACACCACCCATGCCCACGTTCGACAACAAAAATTTGAAAACAACTTTCTAACTAGAATACAATTGTATCATTTTATTTGAATAGAAATATCTTTGTGTCCTAGTTTGGTAGCCACAATGTCAACAATCATATGTTTTTGACTTGTTCTATTTTTCTTTTCAGTTAAATTATTTTTTATTTTTTATTAATATTTTATCACGATCGTTTAGTAGTACTATCTGTATGTGTTAATTGTTTATTTTGATCATGCAATTCTTCATTGAAGTGAATCAGAAGCTTTTTATCATTCAATGAAAAATTGCAAAAAGAGAAATTTTGATTTTTCTTTTCAACATGTATAATCCGGGAACAGAAATAGTTGATAAATCAAATAAATTATGATTAACAAAACTTTAACGAAAGGGTCTGATTTCAGACTATATTACATAGAAATTCAAAAAAATTAATAATGAATATAGTTAACTCATGGTAGTGGCTGCACGTATATGCTTGATCAATGTCATCATTGTCAGTTTACTGTGTCAACCCTCTGTTTCCATCATTCTCTGTGTTGCCTTCGGTTTTTATTTTCTATTAGAAATAAACCTGGTTTTCGATAAGTTTGTTTTGATTAAGAAATATATATAGTCCGCTATTAATCGTCTGATGCAAGTTCATAGGCTTATTGTGGATATTGTGTTATTGAAGCACTGAAAGATTATTTTAAGGAAATAAACAGATTTGAAGGTAAAAAACCACGATATTTTGGAAATTACTCACTCATTACAAGTCAACTACAGACACTCGATGATATAAACAACGATAAATCTAATAGGAAGGAATTTTTGTTGAAGGGTATGAGTATTTTTACTTTCCTTCATATATGTTAAACATTTATTTCCATTTTTCACATTAACACATTTATTGAGAGATAACAGTGAATGATAAAAACATCATATATGCTAATATTACCTATCAACAAATTGAACCTACATCATGTTCAATTAAACAATCAATTTGTGATTTATATATGAGATTGAAGCACTACCCAATTTATAAATTCGGTACTATCTTGTCTTGTCTTGTCTACTTATTCTGAAATTGAATCGATCGTAATAAAATCGATGATTTGGTTATTTTATTAAAATATGAGTCACTTTATTAATAAATTCTAGCTTTCAATTTTCCATCGAAATTTCATGAAACTAAATGTCAATCATAACGTGCTTTTTCAGTTGATCGATATATGCTTCAATATAGTTAACCAAAAAAAAAAGTACTAGTAAATTATTTATCATCTCTTATGCACATCTTTGATTGAGTGCATGCGTTATGAATGTTTCGCACACTGACAACGTCTGTTGTTAAAAAATAAAAATTTAACACTTCGTCATGATAAAATTCTGCATCACATTTCTTTGAAAAGAATTAATTTCATCATCAAAAAAGTTCTTTTGTAACTTTCTTAATTTAAATGTTACTTATGATTAACTGACCTATTCTAAAAACTAACAATAAAAGTTAGATCAATTATTAATTTTAATGTAAAAAAAGCAAAAAAGAAACAAACAGCCACAAAGACGATTGATAAACTCATCAAATTATCCTACACACACACAAAAAAAAGAACCACAATGGATTACTATTGTTCGATTATAATCATGCTTTCATTAATTGTTAACAATATTTTAATAATGTCTTAAGTGTACAAGCTTGTAGACAACAATCATCAATCAATGTATCATTAAATTCTACAAGAATAAAAAATCTATATGCTTTTATATAAATACAATAAAAACTTACGTGTATAGTCAGTAATCGAAATTTTACGCAAATATGAATCATCTTCAATTTTAAATCGTCGTTTCAAAGGTGATGAAGATGAAGATGATATTCCATTTCTTATTAATAATTGTCTAGCTCTAGTACATACCATATCAAGTAAACGAATCAAAGATAGACCACATATTTTAATACTTATTGGTTTACGTGTAGATAATAATTTTAATCTTCGATTATTTGTAGTCTTTCCATTTACAAATGATGTCATTAAAATAGTGACGATAACAAGTACAAAAATTGATGATCGAAACATGTTATTGATCAATAAGAAGAAGAATATAACTAGTGAACATTCGAGTCAAGTTCACTTTCACTTTTGTTAATCTCAACCATGGCAATAGCAAATACAAATTCCATCTAAATATACTAAGAGAACAAAGCTCGCTTCACTTACTTCATGAAAATTATAAAATAATAAAAAAAAGGCTTCTTCTTTCTTTTTCTTTTCCTTTTATCAAACAAAAATTATATTGAAAGAATAATGCATACGGAAAGAATGAATAAACAAATCATAATGTATGCATAGAGATTAAAAACTAATCAGTCTTTCTCTTTTTTTCCATTCATTCATTCATTCATACATTAGAATTTTTTATAAGATGGACCGTACGCGTGTTATCATTTAATTCATATGGAAAAATGAAATATTCTGTTCATGAAGAACATCTATCAATCATCCAATTAAAATTCAATTCATAAATATCATTCTCATATTTCACGTGTGAATTCATCCACTTGGGACACAAATTTTATTCACGTATCTGTGAAAATGCATATCGCTGAATTCATGTCTATGATTTTTATTGTCGGAACGGTTATCTTCCTGTTTCATCAACACATTCTATTTTCTGAACAATTTCAGGAACTTAAAGAAAAAGAAATAAACTAAACAGTAAATGACACTATCTGACATTTTAAAAACGAACTTTACCATCAGTAGAAAGGCTAGAAAAATGCTTTCGATTAGCGAACGTAGGTATTGAACATCTCTACTTCCACACACATTCGGATTGAAGGGTTGCCATTATGAACTCAACGCAAATATTATCACTTCTCATCCGAACTTATATGTCGTGATTGATGAATTGAAGAATAATTATGCATTCAACATGATTACGATGAAACAACTTGATAAGTATGTGAATCAAGCCTTCACAATAGAAAAATTTGTTTTTCAATATTAGAAAATTCTTGATTTAATGAAACAATATGAAAAACAATTCTTTGTCATTAGATGAATATTTTAAATAGAATGAATAAAAAGCATTACAATAATATTTTGTTGTCACTAGCTTATGAACAGTTGAATTATTTTCTTTATTTGTATTATTACCATCATTTTCTTTAATACAAAGTTAGGATGTGGGTGTTAGACCTACGGCGAGGTTAAACTGAAAGAAGACGATTCTGTTAAATTAGTACCGTTATAAAAGCTTCACAAAAAACAACTGAAGTTTGGTATAATTTCCATCAAGCTATGTTACATAAGAAAAAAACTAAAAAAAGGCTTTTGAAGTGTTCGTACAGGTCTCTAGTCAGTACGAATTAAGAGAACATCAACATTCACACTTCTTCTTGTCCAATATTATGATTTAAAAATATTGCTATTAGTTATATATCCAGATTAAATTTTAATAAGTAGTAATTCTTGGTATTCTCTATTAGCTGTCTTAACTTATCGACGAAATCGTCGGAACATTGTTTATTTAATTATTCAATTCATAATTACTAATCATATGTTTCTTTTTCTTTTTATTGCACTAAGTTACTATCAGAGAAATACAAAAGAAGAAAAAAATACTGAGATAGAAAGAATACATGTATATGCGAAATATCTGACTGATAACGAAAATGTTTGTTTTCATAAATAAGCCGCCCAACCGATGAACATCTGACATAATAATTCATTACTTGTTGCTTGCTTAAAAGAAAAACAAGATCAAATAAGAAAAAAAAAAAGCAAATAACAGTGTGAATTTATTTAACATACTTGTATTAAATGATCAACTTGTCCTTCAACCGATAGTGGTAATACAACACGTTTACCTGTTAATTCATCTGTACAATAACCTCGTACACGTTCTAATATATTTCTCACATGTGTTTGAGCCTATTAAAAATTCTCATAAGGTAAATTCAAATAAATGAAATACTCATTTTCTGTTTACCTTCATATTAACAACTTCACCTTCAATTTGTTGTTTTTTCATATTAGCAACTTCTTCTTTTGTTGCTGATTTCCATTCTACTAATGGATCATAAATAAATGTCTTCAAAACTGATACGAGTAATTCACGTTCATCACGTATTAAATGTAAAATAATTTCACATGTTTTACGAAATACACCTTCAACACCTAATGTACCCATACCATCAACAATATTATGTGTTAAACGAAATGGAACTTTTTCTGGAATTTCAAATGTTAATCCTAATGAATAAATAGATTTAAATTACGAATTGTTTTATTTAAAGAAATTTTACCTTTATTAAATAAACAATTAAAATCAACATGAACTGTTTCACCTGTACATGTATCAAGAAGAATATTTTCACAATGTCGATCACCTAAACCCATTATATAACCAATCATTGACATAACAGCTGTTGAACGAACAAAATTCATTCGACTTATATACCAACGATTCGGATCAGGATAAGCAGCAAAAAAATATTGATGAAATACAGCTGGTTGATGAAAAGCCATTAGTTTAAGAAAATCCTTTTATTTTTTTTTGTTTTAAATAAACAAATTAAATAGAGAAAATAAATTTTTTTTTTGTCTATATATAACTTACATTATAACGAGTTTCTTTTGTTTTATCTTTACTATTTCCATAAACTTTTATTTCTCGATTGGATACTTCAGAAAAATTTGAACTACGTTGCCGATAAAATTTTGTTACTAATGAACGAAATGTACATAAATTAGGTAACCATTCAATTAATCCACAACGTTCATTTATTGGATAAACAGCGTATGTACGAATATTTAATTGACGACGACGTGTTTCACTATTTTTTTTTAAACATTTATTAAATAAATGACAAAAATCTAAACAACGTGAATCAACACGAAGATCATCTTGAGATTTACATAAAAATGGATATAATTGTCCATCACTACCACGTATGACAATTTTTTTTGGTCGTTGTAATGATGATAATACATCTATGTTATCTTCGAAACCTGAAATTAAAAAAAACGTTTTTCTTTATATTTCAGAACTACCTTTCATAAAGAGGAACAAAAAAGCAAGTGATTCACGATTCACTTGGAATCATTCTACTTCTAAAACACGATCAACTTTCTCTCCATATATTCAGTGACTTCGTTACATGGATTATCAGAAATTTTAGTAAAATAATATCGCTTTTGCACTCTTATATTTTAGTATAAATTATCAATTTGAAAAAGTAAACATATTTTGAAAAGTCGACATCTTATTATTTGCCTGGATACTCAACCTGGTTTCAGAAAACTATTTAGAACAAAAACAAAACCGAACACAATATGAACTATTGAAAAACCTCACAGCGAATGAACCTTGAAGAGTAGAGAAAAAGTTGTGCTACACTCAAAGTTCCAGAATTCTGTATGCTATGAGATATTGAGCTCACAATAGATTAAATTGACTCCTCGTTTCTCCCTGTTTCTTTGAGAACTATGTTCGATCAGGTTGAAAACTTTTTTACAGGTACTGGACACTATCTAAAACGAGGTTTTTGGTAAAATTATATTTTTTGTCCTTTCAATAAAAAAAAGTCAAAATACCAGACGTACCTAAAAAAAAACGCTTGCTTTTCTTTACTAAGACAAATTTTGTGAAAGCTGCCAAGTATCACTGGAGCAATATTGTTTGACATAAAAAAAAAAGTACTCACACCAGAGAGTGACTAGTATATGTAAAAAAAGTTTCAGGTCGATCTGTCTTATCGTGTCAGAGAAACGGGAGCGAAACAGTATCATTTTTGTATAAAATTTGGTTTTGAAGAAAATGCAAAACAAAATTAATCGATTGAAGTTCATCTTCTATTTAGAATACATAGAGAAGAACAGATGAAAGAGCATGGAAAGCAGCTTTGACATGCTGAATAGCTGACGAACAAATGAAAAAAAAAAACACGCAACACTCTTTTCTAATACGTCATATCAATCATATCTCAAATTGAAGTCACGAAGTCTGGAAAGGGAAAGAGTTACGCTTGATATCAACTTACTATGAATCGTAACAACAGCATCCGGAAATGGTTGATGTCGTGCATCATAATAAGTTTTTTGTGGTATTTTATTTGTTGCAGTTGTTATTGATCCTGCTTGTGCGGTTTTTCTTGTTGTTGTTCGTCCTAATGGACCTTGTTTATTTGCCATAGCTGTTAATTTTACTGTTGTTTCTGATGGAAGATCAACATTGTTTATTTGTTGTTGTTGTTGTTGCACATGGGCTAATGTTGTCGATAGAGAAAATCTTACTGGTGGTGGTGGTAAACAAACTTGCATTTGTGATTGAATTGGTATAAGAATAGGACATGCTGATTGATTAGCATATGAACGTTTAAATGATTTAAATTGTGTTGATAAACTTATTTTATTTTGTCCATATGTAACAGCATGCATACATAATGTATCAAGTTGTTTAATAAGTATTGTTGCTTCAACAACAAAATCATGTAGACCAGGTTCAATATTCGAAGCTTCATTCCAAATAGCAATACAACGATCACGTCGCATACTATTTGATGAACCATATAAATTAATCATCATCCATAATGTTTGCTGAGGAAAAGCAGCAAATACTTGTGTTATTATTGAATTTAAAGCTTTCGATGTCATATCTTCACTATGACATATACGTGAGACCATATAAGGAAAAGCAGCAAGAAATAAATATGGTGGTATACGTGTTGTCCATGATGATACTTCTCGTGTTATTTCAGTTAATTTTGCTTGTCCATATTGTCTTATTTGTGCTGCATCAGGTAAATTAGCTGTTGCAATTGTTGATGGTTGTTGTTTACGTGATGTTGTTGTTGGTACTGGTTTAATAAATGGTACAAGATCAGATGCAAAATCAAGCCATATTGTTAATAAACGTGTTAATGATTGATAAATAAATTCACAACCATATTTTAATGAACGACAATATGTATTAACAGCTAAACGAATATATTCCATCATACGTAATTTATTTTCTAATGAAAGTCCATTAGATGATAGAAAATTATTTGTTGTTGTTGTTGCAGTAGAATTTGATGATGTTGGATCAGATTCAATACATGATGAAAGTAATGTATCATAAAATTGTGCTAAATAAAAATGTGTTTCTTCCCAATGTGGAGCTGCTTCTTGAGCTTGTTTATACATTTCAAAAACGGCTTCATGAGGAGAATTTTGTTCACTATAACGAGCTAATAATAACCATACTTGTGCTTTCAAATCAGCTGAAACTGAAACAAAAAATAATAGAAAAATTACATTTAGCAATCAAAATTCACGATTAATTGTGAGAATGGTAGAAACAGAAACTGTCTTCGTTCATTTTTCTGACAGAGATTGAACAGAAGATACTGAAATCATCGACTTCTTGTGATATTTCATCTCAGAGAAAAAATATCTTTGTATGAATATCTATCAGAAGTAGAGATGTACACGGTAATGGTTAGAAGGGTGTGGTCTACTCTTTACACACTCATACCCGAATCCTATTTCCTTTCTATTACGTTCTTCAAGAAGTTATAAAAAGCTTTGTAGAAAGTTTATACCTTGTAATCTATTTTCATTATGATTTCCATCATTTATTGTTCTTGAATCTAATAATTCAATTTTCTTTTGTTTTAAACTCATAATAGCTCGATCTTTTTCTCCTTTATCCCACATCCACTGTGCACGTTCAATCACTACTTCAATTGGATGTGATTGATTAGCTTTCATCAATGAACCAATAGCTGCTAAAGAATTATTTTGTGCACGTGCTATACGTGCACTATGTAACCAACATTCACCAATTTCTAAAGCATGTTGTTTCGTATGATTAATATCATCCAATAATAAAAGTGTTCGTCTTAATGCTAATGATGGTTCAATATATTTACTATTTGGTGGTAATAATGCATGTCTTTGTGACCATATATCATCAATATTATCATTATCAATAATCATAATAGAATGATCATCATGAAAAATATTTTTTAAAACATAATATTCAAGATCTTTAAGTAAATGTAATTTAGCTAAATAATCATATGCACGTTGATATGATCCAACTTCCATACTAGCTGCTGATATAGGTCCCATTAAAGAATTTAATGCTAAACGAAATTCTGAATAAAATTCTTCACGATTTTGTTTTTTTGCTTGACATAAAATTTTTCCAACATATTCTTCAAATTGTTTTGAAACATGTAAATCATGTAAAATATTCATTTTTGAACTTTCATTTATTTGTTCATTATGATTTAAATGTAAATTTTCATTTTCATATGAACAAAATTTTTCTAATAAATTCCATTTTGATAATTTCCATGCTGCTTCAATACGTAATGGATTTAACATATTAATCCATGTTGGATATTGAACAATAATACCAGTTGATTGATCAATTGTATGTTGAAATTGTTGTTGAGTTAATAAATTATTTAAATAACCTAAATATAAATGTATATTTGTTTGATTTAATTCATTCATTTCTAAAACATTTTCATATGCAACAATAGCTTCATCAATTTGTCCAGTTAATTCATATGATAAAATTTCTTCATAAATATCTGTTCGAGGATTATCTAATTGTTTTGGTGTCATATTACGTATAGCAATAATACCATAAGCTGAATCTTGATCATTTAAACGATGAAATAATTTTAAAAGAAATTCACTATTATGAGAAACATTTATTTGTTGTTCAATTGATGAATACATTTCAAAATGACGATATGCACGTGTATAATGATCATATTTAAATGCAATACGAGCAAGAGATAGATCAGTATGTAATAAACGAATATAATTACGTATTCGTGTTATACCTAAATTATTCCATGTGCCATCTTTAATATTTAATGGATCTTGATTTGATTGTTGTTGCTGTTGTGGTGGTTGACGTTTACGTTGATCTGATTGTTTAGCGTGTTCATTTGGATCGGTAGTATTTAAGGAGGAAAATAAAAGAAGAAAATCGATTAAAGTAAATATGATTTGACCGATTTGATGAAGAACATCAGAAGATGGATTTATTTCGTTTGCATCATATTGATTTGTGTAAGAAACTAATGCTTTGATTTCTTTATCTAATACATCTTGACCAAGATTTTCACCAATTAAATGAAGAATTACATAGGGTAATAAAAATGAGCCAATAGAACTGAAACAAAAAAGAAAAATTAGAAAGTATCAAAAATAACTTTCTTATGAATGCTGGAAATAAGAGAAAAAGCTATTAGAGTAATCTCTGTAGGATTAAAATGTCTCCTTATCCAGAAATACAATAAGGAAGTAGTTCAAAGATTATAACGAAACGTTATTGATACACGGTCTTTAATCGTATATTAACGTCTTCTGTCATAGTCTGTCGAGGGCGAAGGTAGAGGCCTGCACTTAAGTCAATTTTTGAATTGTAAGTTTTATTATTTGTTATTTACTATACAAAACCAGCGTTTTACCCAGGCTTTGCCTTTCGAAGAAGCGACATCAAATTTCGGGAGAGCGAATACTGAGTTTTGAGAGCATAGACACATATTGAATATCAAGAAATAAAACTTACCATTGAAAAAAAACCTGTAGTGTTCAATCTAATTTACTGGTATGCATTTTAGAGAGTTCTTATCGCTCGTAAAAATGACTCTGATGCAGGTCTTTAGGAGGTGGGAGTCCAAATTTTTATCCCTATGCTTCAACGCTCCTTTTAGATTGTACCTGAAAAAATAATGGATGACGGCCAAAAGAAGAACGATCTCTTTCTTTTAATTTTAATGTATTTCTGTGTCAGAAATTAGTGATCTGTGAAATCAAGCGTTTTTTTTTGTAATCGCAGGCTCGGTCTCCAAAAATTTTAAATCAACATTTTTCTCAAATAACAACTTGTAAATTGTCGTTATTAATTGACACAATCAACGAATATCACACTTTTTTTTAATCTTCTTTCACAAGTTTTGCTATGACTATATAATATAATGCATACGTAGTGAATTAAAAGCAGTAGAAAAGTCATTTCTTGTGTTAACTCACCTATTAAATCTAACAGCAAATAAACAAGAATGAAATAAATGATAATAATTATTATTTGGTAAATGTTGAATTAAATAAGGTACAAATTGTGTTAACCATTGTTCATATGTTTTTATGGTTATTTGTTTTAAAATAGCTTCTTGTGATTTATTTGTTTTTAAATTTGTTTCATCAGTTAAAACATATTTTGATGTACGTAAAGGTTTAAATAAATCTTGTTGTTCTTGATTTAATTTTGTCCATAATTGTTTATTTATTTGAATTTTTTCATTATCATCTGATAAATTTAAATTATAAAATTTTAAACATTCTTGTATTGCATATGATATTGTATCTTGTTGTCGTACTTGATCAGCAGCAAGAAAAGCTCGTGTTAATTCAGCAAATAATTCTAATGCAAATTCTTGTGAATATAAATTAAAATAACAACGTTTTAAATCATCAGTATTTATTTCAGAATTTGAATTCGATAATAAACGATTAATTAATGATGTTGATGTTGCAATGGATGAATATAATTTACGAAATTCTATTCGTCCAGGATCAATAGCACCTATTTCACCAAGACAATTTATAGCAATAAAACGTATATTTTGATTTGTATCATTTGAACGTTCAAGTAATGTTAATATAAGACGAGTTATTATTGATGAAACTGTATCACGTGATAAACACATTTGTAATAAATATGGACGATTTGTTTTTAATAAATTTTCTAAACTATTTAATGCATGTAATCGTATATCCATCATATCAAAATTTAAAAGTGTTATAAGACGTTGAAATTTATTTTCTAATAATGTACGTTCATCATTGTTTATGTTTGATTGATTATCATTCATTTCTGAATGTTGTTTTTTACATTTATTTAACTTTATTTTAATGTTTTTCATTTGATTTATTTGTGGAATAAGTAATAAATCATCTGTTATTAAAGCTATTTGACTATTAGAAATATTATTTAACATAAGAAGAATTAATTCTTGAAAATGTTCATTATTTATTTCATGATATGGTAATAATGATGCAATTAATTGTAATATCATTGATGAAAGTATATCAACATTAGTACTTAAATGACGAATAAATTCTTGCCAAAGATTAAATACAATTAAACTTAATTCAGATGAACATTGAAGAGCCAGACGAAGTGATCGAAGAAGTTTTACACGTGTTGCAACAATTTGAACTGAGTCTAAGAAAATCAAACAATTTGTTCATACAATTTCTGTCAGATTAAAATGTAATAAGAAAATTTGTTAATATTAATAAAAACTGATTAATTGTTTTTAGAAAATTCTTTATTTTCTTGAGCTTTTTAAATTCTTGTAATCAAAATTACAAATACTCAAAGTGAAAGATTATGGGCAATGTCCCGAAGAAAATCCATAGTTGATCTATTACCACGGTCAGCAATAACATTTTGAATTCTGGATTCTTTTATCTCTTTATGTATATNGTGAATCTACCGCAAGTTAGCTGAAAGTCATGAATATTCTTCTTTCCTTCTGATAATAGACACATTAAAAATTTGATAGGTTAGTCAGATTTCAATAGGAACTGACATCCTTTTAGAATTTCTACGTATTAGAGCACTGTGGTATCAATAGGCAACAAATCATTGAAACCGGAAGGAGAAGCAGAAGAAATTTTCTCCCAACTTCGGACTGATATTATACTGTGTTGTACAAATCAAAACTTCATAAATTATCGTCAGACAGGCCAAGAGTGATTTCAAAATTTATTCAATATTATCTACCTATAAATACAGGGGATGCTCAGTTCTTATTTCCAGTACTTTTCAAATAAACACAGAAAATTGATTTTAATTATAAAAACAATATGAAAATGAACTGTATATTTTGTGGATTGGGTTGGGGCAAGAAAGTTGAATATTAGCATTGATCACTAGAGCTGTAAGGTAGTTGTTTGGATGTGGGTGTGGGCGTGGATGGGTAAGTTCAGTAGCAACACCCATACCCTAACAGCGCGTTTTAATTAGATCTGATATACTGTAACGTCACTGGAATAAGAGAATTAGAAATATTTTTAAAACAGAAAGATCCGATACGCTTGTGCACAAGATCGCAGATAAGGAAATTTAAAAAAAACATGGTTTTAACAAGAGGAAGCAGATTTAAAATTGTTCCATATTTAATATCAAGTTTTTGTATCCAAGATTTATAATGAATAACTTTGATTGACGACCGATCATTTATGAGCAAAGTATCTGCTGTGCAAGAGGGAAGAGTGAGCGAGGATATTGATATTTTTTTAAATTTTTTGTCGACTTGAAATTAAACAAAAACATCAGTGTAGTCGAAAATCTGCTTCTTCTTCAGATTATACACGCCCTATATATATACATGTACATCGCCTAGTACAACACTGTGTGAGGGTGAAGGGCGTGCATCACCTGAACGAATGCCCAGAATCCTCAAAAAAGTCGAATTAATCAGAAAAATCGAAAACATTTTTTGCATTTATTATCACGACTGGCCTCCTTCTCTCTCTCTCTATATATATATATATCGTCTTCTTTCGACAATAAGATTTCACCTACACGTTCACAGTAAGTAACTTTTGCATCATATACCATCCGACGCAGTTTTCCATGATGATTCCGAACATTACATTCAATACCTAGTACCGGTTATGTCATCTGCACGAGATGGCGTTTTGGCTAACACTAGACTACATATAGACGAATAATTAGAAAAAGTTTAGACTCAATCGGATTGAAATCTTTTGTACCGTTCAAAAAGGACCGTATTACTCATTTTTACAGCTTTTCTTGCATAAAAGTCAACTCATTTTTTTTTCAAATAAGTGTTTTTTTATTACATATGGTCAGATGCAACTCGATGAGCTGATTCCGAATATCGCCTGGGTTTTTCACCAAAATGATGCATTGCTTTCGAAAATTGGGATTTGAGGGTAAAAATCTCAGTTTTTGGAAGATCCATAGCACCAACTGTGCTCATCAGTACACAACGGCACTATAATCAACGATAAACCACATGCTTGAGATCGATCAGATTAAACGTCTATGTCACGTTTGAAAACTACGGAACGACTGTTTTTCGAAACGTTGTCAGGCTCAAGATCGAGCTTGTTGTTTTGAAAAACATTTATTGCTATATCTGATTTAATGCAGTTTGACCACCTGATTTCTAATATCAACTTGGTTTTGCGGTGAAATACCTTGGTATTAGCGAAATTAACAATTCCGGGCGGAAACCTCTGCTTTCAGGAAATCCCTAGCGCTGCCTCCATTCACTGATACGATATGGTGCTATGACCAACGATCTATCATATATAGGAGAATAATTGATGCAAGTTTGAGCTCAATAGGATGAGAACTCTTTGCCGCGTTCACAAGATACTGCTAGATGATTTCTTTGACCTATTTTCGGCCTGATAATCGTTTTTTTTCTACTCCATTTCTGGTTCAATCGAAATAATTTTTCACCCAATGAAATTTATGGGTTAATCAGCGGTTTCAAATGATTTTTCATTTTAAAATATTTTTGTAAGTTAATAACAGAAATGATCTTCGTAAAAATTACCGATTTATGAGCAAATTATTTGATGGTGGACTTTCTCAGGATTGAACTTGATTTATAGAAATCTAGTTTTAGGGTACAATAGACTAATCACACTTATATTCATTCCAATATATATGAACTTTGGAAAATAGAACTTGAAGTTATGTCTGCCTGACTACTCACTCTAGTCTCTATTCAAATGCGGATTGTTGGAGTAGAGATGAAAGAGAATTCATATTAATAAAAACAGCATTCAATTCTCTCAATAGAATAATCAATGGGTTTCGTCTTCTATTTTTTCTCGAAAACTTTTTTAGTGTCTTCATGTTGTACCCTATGAAAATTTACAGATGCACAGATTTTGGTTCTACAACTCCATCGGGTACCTATGAATAGACGTTTTTTATTGAACATCTACTGCCTGATTCGCAGCTTTTAATTGTTAATTTGACGATTGCTTTCGTTTATTCTAATGTTTTAGAGAAAAAAACATTTTCTCTCGACTTCAAAACATTCTTTTCTAGTTAACAAAAATTGTCCATTATTATCAAACCAAACTTGAAATTATCACCTTAAAGTGTAGATATGAATTGTTGAATGACATCAATCGCTTGTGCACACGCTATTGGATAGGTACCTGTATTCAGAAAAAATTGATTGATTGAGAGATTTCACGATCTTTTCTTACCTGGAAAAGCAAGAAAATCATGTAGGACACCTTTGACAAGTAAAAGTTTGGTTTTGACACCAGCCTTGTCAAGTAACTTCTGATATGCTGAAATTAAAACATTCGATTTTTTCTTATCTTTTCAAACTCTGTGTTTATACCGTAACTATCGTCTCGGAGCGGATCCAGTTCAGCGACGATAAATAAACATGATGGCAATGTGTCGAAGGATTTGTTGAGAAGAACAGATACTCGAGGATCTTTCAGATCGTTTGCATCACGAAATGCGTGTAACTTCAACCTGTGTGAAAAGGAAGTATCTCTTTAATTTAAAGAAAATTCTATTTAGTATTTACCAATCGAGCGTTGCAGGTGTAAGAACGTACATAGGATTACTAAATTCTTTGTAAGACGCTGTGCTACATGTAGCATCAAAAAACCCATAGACGAGAATCTGCTTGAGAATGAAAATAAGACGTTTGGATGATTAGTGTCGCTGAAATCTATACCTGGAAATCAATATTTTTGATCGTATGACAAACTGATGCGCTAATTTGTGCACCAGCACTGTCGCCTGCCACGCCAATTTTCGCTGTTTCATCAACACCTGAATAATCATCAAATGCAAATAGAAAAGTTGAAAAGAGAGAAACAGACCGTATGATACTTTATTTTCGACAATTTGTCGAGTAACATCACATGAATCGTCAAGCCATATTGGATATTTATTTTCTGGTGCGAGACGATATTCGACAGAGATCCAAATGGTCCTCGTCGCGCTAGGTAGGCAAACAGACAGAAAGTATCTTTCAATATGTTGTAAAGAAGACGATTGTTAATCAATATTGAGACATAGATTCATTTTGTGCAAGCTCTTTGTTAAAACGTATCTCATCTTTTTTCTATAAACTGTTGAAGTACCATAAAAACTATTCGCACGATTTCTATGCTATTTGGCTAGATCAATTTATCACAGCTATGTATGTGTGATATCAAACTTGAAACTTAATTACGGTTATGACATTTTACCATCACCTTCACGCATATTGAGCTTGAACAAGCTGACATAGATGCGTATTGGCTCCAGGTAATTCATAAATCTTGCAGTGAGGAATATGAGAAGAGAAGCTCTTACTCGGCAAGAGTATTGACTATTGTTTGGTGCGTCTTGCGACTGGAACTAACCCAACCTACTTTCAAATAAAGTTATAAATTACAATCAATAAATAATCAGAATTGTACCTCCACCATGGAAAAATATAACTAGCTTATTCTTGTTGGCATCAGTTGGTGTATAGATTGTAATAGGGATCTCTAAATATTCAAGACATTAATATAAAGAAGCAATAGAGATGATTATTGTAGTCTAAATTCACCTGCGCAGTTGACCTTCACATGCTTTTCTTGTAAAGTACCTTTGAACGTTCCAATAAGTTTTTCATTACCTTTGGTAAATAGTTTTTCATCTGCTTCACGCACTTCTTTGATGGTGGGACTTTCCGATGAAGGTAAAATTGAAACAGCTAGTTGATAATAAGCATTCGTTTCATCGGTGAATCGTGAATCCCTGTAACAGCAAGACGAACGAAGATCTATTCATCAACATTTACAGAAACTCAACTTACATGATTTTATCGCCTGTAGGAGCCTCGTTATCAGGTGATGACAATCAGGTCGAGTATGGATGAGAGCAGAAAAGAAAAAATAACTAAACGAAAAGAATACCTTTAGAGAACTCAATTTTCGTTGTCGCATGTGAAGAAAAAACATCGAGAGCAACGTATAAGCATGTGCCTCGTGCTACCTGATTGTAGCGAACGAAAAAACAAGAACTGCACACGTCGTCGTCAAATCTTTAGTGTCTCAAGAAATCAGTATGTTTAACCATCTTGACGATTCTTACAACTACTACTGACTTTCCATGCACATTCTTGAACACTTTTCATGAGACTTGTCAACCGGCGAACGGTTCCCTCGAGTATGACGAGTGATATCAATTCAAAATTGAGAGTCGTTGTTACATTACTTATTGTCATCGTGTGCGTGTATGTACATGTATGTAGAAGAGAAAATAATCACAAATAGTGTCATTTTTTTGACGAAGCGTAATAAACATAGTAAAAGAATAAAGTTTTTGATTCTGTGAATAAAGAGACAGAGGGTGTAAGTGTAAGCTATTCTTCGTAGTCACATCCATCATGAAAGAATTCTTTCTTGATAGGCTTTAACCAGCAAATGATGAAAGCCTTGAACATGTCTCAAATCATGAGACTTTAAACGAAGAGGAAATATGATTTTCGTAAATGGAGAAGCCTAAGATTGTGTTGTATTCATTTTTGAGTTTTCTCCAATTTATTCTTCGAATAACAAGAGACGAAAGAGAGAGAGATGAGGACATTAGAGAGTACTGGAGTAATTTCACACATGCATATCAACAGCAGATCAATATCGTTCATTGCTGAAATCAAATAAAGGTTTTTGTATGTACATATAAGAAAGGCCTATAACTATGTTAAAGCCTGTAAATAAAAAGAACAAATTTTTGACTTGAAAAAAAAAGAAAAATTACAAGCAGAATTATTATGAAAAATTCTTTGTTGTTAATTAGGTTGTCTGTTGTTGTGGAATATTTTCTTCTCGTTCTGTTTGTATTAATGTTCGTGTATGAATATGTTTAATACGTCGAGCATTTTTCGCTAAATCAGTTGTTGCTTCAACCATATCTCTTAATGCATACGATAATGTATGAAAGGCTAAAACATCACCAATCGATTGATTTGATACAAATTCTGTACGTATAAAACGATTATTAGCATAAAGAAATTGTATTAATGATGCAAACATTAAATCAACAGCATTACGTAATGATGGTAATGGTTCATGATCTTCTTGTGAATTGTTACAACAAGAAAAAAATTTATAATAATTTGTAACTAGTGGTAATGCTTCAAATTGTGGTACTGCATAAAAAGATGNCGCATTCCAGGCGGACAACAAGTGGGAGCTGTAAAGGTGATCGTATTAGACTTGAGTATATTTGTCTATAAAAGTACAGATTCTATATACTTGCTATTAAAAATATAAATAAGAGAGAGCTCTAGATGACTGTTTTTAATCCAATCAAAGACAAATTTTTAGCATCAACAAACATACATGTTAGATAAATAAATGGTTAATGAATACGGAGTCAAACATTTTGACTCTGAAAATTATTTTTGACTGGCATATTTACTTCTTTTGATGCCATCTGTTAATGTATCTAACCAGTTGAACTCTTCATGTCAGACTGTTTTCATCGGTCTTTGACCGTTTTTTTTATTCCTTTTTTTTTAGAGTACTAAAGTTAATATATTTTTACGCATTTTTATTGATTTTTATGGTTTGAATTTTCGATCGAATAAATTTCTGGTCGGTTTCGAAATTTCAGTTCAAAATTGTGACCTAGCACTTTCCACTATACAATGAATGTCCACAAAGAATAATGAACGCACTGATTATGGTTAATAGAAAGTTACCCACCAATTCACAATCGAAACAAGATGTAAACTAGAAAATTTCCCATCTCAAAATGTCAAGTTCTCTTCTGAACGGTTTTACGCTGACAGTGAAAAATTCTTAACGGTCAGAAATTCTTAGATTATATTCTACTTGTCTAAATACTAAAAAAAAGATCATTTTAATGTGAAAGTTGTGCTGCATGTTAATACCGTGCAAATTTTTATCAAAAATTATGTGTTTCAAAATCAATTATCGTATCTTATTTAGTTTTACTATCGGCAATAGTAACTGACGGAAGAAAAAGTCCTTCAAGTAAGGGTACTCCTTTTTCTCGACTTTTCAAGGCAATCAAAAATAAAGTGGCATCCTACCCTCAAGTACGTTAAATAATAATTTCAAATAAAAAAACATTAAATTTATCACTTCTTGTGAAGAATTCATGTATTTATTAAGGAAAACTAGCTAAAATCAAACACAAACAGTTTTTCTATACTACTCATTGTAAGGCACCATATGACAATTTTCGAAACAGTTTTCTTTTACTTCTCAGTATTAGCATGTATGAAACGCGACGGATTATATAAACAACGTTTGTATCAGAAATCTCAAGAGTTATATAAATTTCACTCAATCTCTTTGTAAAGTTGCATTGATTAACCCTTTCTCAAAAGAAGTAGCTTGTTAATTAAGATATACAAGGATCCACTTTTCCACTAGGTTTTTGCCGGTTAAGTCAAGAATTTTCACCGGTTGGATCAGTTGCATTGAAAAAAATTCAGTCGGTTCCAACTCTGCAACGAGATTTATGATGGACGGCGCCTATTGTTTCTTCAAGTCTTTTAATGTGAAAAAGCTATCTATTAAATTATGAGTTATGCTGGGAGATTGCCGTATCTGGATGTCTGTGAGTTTTCAGCACGAGTACAATGACTATTGGCATGCCGTTTGCATTCAGAAAAAGATTCTTTTCCAAGACTTGTAGGTAATAATGCTCAACTACAGACAAAGTTTTCCCAAAAAATTTGAGTTCGATTCGTCAAAGTATTACTGCGCTACGGTCTACAAAAGGCATTAGGAAGGTTTTTATTCTTCGAATAGTCACAGTAAAATGGCCACCATTCTAACAAGAGTTTATGGGTTATTATGAGATTAATAGCATGGATAGCATAATTCCCATTGTGTTTAAGCAATCAGGATAAACTGGTGGCTCTGATCTACATTCTCCATAGATTATATACACAGAAATTCTCAGACCTCTAGTACCTTTGGTAGCTGAGATCTGGTACTGTGGAAGACCTTTGCCCACTGCTATAACTTGCGAAAGTTTTGAACGATTCGATATCATACAAAAGAATTTGCTTCGAGAAAATATACATTCAACTGATCTTGATGTAGCAGAAACCCATGATCTTTCTAGCAAGTTTATTAATAGATAGGTATGAATTAGGATTCATGGTTAAATTTTCTTCCTACGCAAAACCATCAATTTCTTATTAAAGCCTGATGCTGGACTCTAAATGTAGAGTACAGTCAACAACAAAAGTTTAAGGAACTTTGTTTTTTCTTTTCAATTTTTTTTTTACGTTTTTTTTTCCAGATTTTATTTCATATTAAAGGGTACAGAGCTGATTCAAATAATGACATAAATAGTATGAGAGACCGACTACATAAAGTATTATAGGACGGGACTCTGTTTGTCTATATATAATTTTTATAATTAAAATAATTTTTTCTGCCCCAAAACAGATTTATGTGCTTTCCAGTATTTCTCATCTCCTAAGCAATGCATTTGCACTAAAATGAAAACAAAGAGATCAATCGACACAAAATTTCAACTTTTGTCGGTTTCCAAAAAACGTTTTTGTTCTTGACGCTGATCGTTATCTCCAAAACCTAATTTTATTCAGAATAGGCGAAGGACACGGAAAAGTGAAAATCTTCGAATTCCATCGAACACTGACATCTACATCCTACTTGAAATCTAGTGCACTCTATTTTTTGCAATTTTTTTTAACTTTTGAAAAGAAAGGAGAAGAAAGAATTTTAAAAAATATTCAATTTCAAACTGTGATGCGCTACTAGAAAAAAAGACCACTTTTTGCTACCCTATACTCATTTTTGAATTTTTTGAAGGTAGGCTTGTAGATAATATAATTTTCTTTAAAATGAGACGTTTTCCAACTTTCTAGGTTTGAAATATATATGCAAATATGAGCGAAATATGATAGGATTTGAAGAATTTCACTTTTTCGTGTGCTTCGTCAATTCTCAATAAAATCAGATTTCGAAGATAAAGATTAGCGTCGAGAACAAAGATGTTTTTTTTAGAAACTGACAGAACGTGAAATTCTCTATCAATTGGTATTTTGGTTTGACTTCAGTGCAGATCTCTTTGATAAGAAATATGAAATACTGGAAAGCGTATAAATCTATTTTTGCGTGGAAAAAAATAATATTAATTATGAAAAATCTATTTCAAAATAGAATGCATCTCATTGCTCTATAATTCAATCGATAATACAAATAATTTTAATTAAATAAATATATTTTTTTATAGAAAAAAGCAGTTCATATCGTATTGTTAATAATGATGAAAATAAAACCAACTAAAATTTCAGATGCTGTCTACTCATACCTGTACCATTACATGATACATTAATGAAATATCTTCACGAAATGCAAAAGTTTTTTTTATTTATTTTATTAAAATTTCTTGCAGTTACTGATTTTGGTTCGATTATACGTATTCTTACAGATCGACGAGCTTTGTAAACTGTTTTAATGATTCATGAATGACATTCGAAAAGTGATACAAATTTGTTTTTTCTGTTTTGTTGCTGTCTTTTTTTTTTTATAAATCAGCTATATTTGACCATTATGATTATCTTTATATGCATAGGAAGAAGGTTTTTTTCTAGGCGAAATTCTAAAAGTTTATCATTAATTTCTAGATAATATGGTACCAAAAAGTTCTAACATTATCAGCAAAACAAGTGGTTTTTATTTAGTAACCAACGAAATTTTACAACAAATATCTGAAATAAAACAAAATGAAATTAGTTTAATGAATTTATTTATTCAACATACAAGTGTTTCATTATCAATTAATGACAATGCTGTACCTGATGTACGTGTTGATATGGAAATAATATTGAATAAACTTGTACTGAAATATAATTCTTATGAACATTTAGATGAAGGTACAGATGATATACCAGCACATGCAAAATGTTCATTACTCAATTTATCAATTAATATTCCTATTACATCAGGACGTTTAGTTTTTGGTACTTGGTAAGGAACATATTTATGTGAACATATAAATTATGCTAGAAGTCGAAATATTATTGTAACAATTAATGGACAACCGAAAAAATTAAAAAGGATTTCTTCGAAAATTTATTTATGCGAGCAAATTCGAAATAAAGTTTTTTTTTGTTGCTGTTGTTGAATTTTTTTTATAGTAATCAATTAGGAGAACCTCATACACTTTAATGTTATCGTACAACATGTCGAAATGATTTTAAATTTTATGCTGATCGTCTTATACGTTTAACTGTTAAAAATGCATTAGATCAATTGCTATATGTACTATATGGTGTTATAACCCCAAATGGATATTGTCTTCAAGGTTTAAGACATGAAAAAGGCATTCGTGAATGTTGCAGGTAACAAAAAAGAATAATATGAGTTCGATCAAAATTTGCTAGTCTTATTGCCAATTCATTAAAGATTTATGAATAGATGAAAATAAGAGTAAAGAAATTTTGAATTGATCTTTCTTTCAAAAAAACAAAGAAAAGATCAACATGTGAGATTAAATTGAATAATATCTTTAGTGTAATTCGAATTGTCTTTTATTGTAGCTCATGTGAGGACAGTTGATAGTGCCATTCCTAACGATGGAATCTCCTCAAATGTCTCCTTCTGACTTTAATAATTTCTTGCCTATAGAGATTAAATAGAGTTCTAACAAATGGTCTAAAAGGATTCAAGTTCCTATTAAGATTTGACTAAGCAATCGAATATTTTTCTAGAGGCTTTAGGTTTTTTTGAAAACTTGTATTTTCGAATTTTGAACGAACTCTCTTCGAGATATGAACCTTTCAAAATATGTATGTTGTATATGCACTATCGATGAAAAAAAAGTCTAGATCTTGAAAGTCTCACATCTCGAAGAGAGCAGAGCTACAGCTAGTCATAGGTGTAGGGAAGATATCGAACTAGTGAATCTACCGCAAGGTAGCTGAAAGCCATGGATATTCCTCCTTGTTTCTGATGATAGACACATTACAAAATTGATAGGTTAGTCAAATCTCAATAGGAACTAAAATTCCTATCTATAGACAACAAATCATTGAAACTGGAAGGGGGAAGCAGAAGAAATCTCCTTCTAACTTCCGACTGATATTATGCTGTCTTGTACAAATCAAAACTTCATAAATTATCGTCAGACAGGCCAAGAGTGAATTCAAAATTTATTCAATATCATCTACCTATAAATACAGGAGATGCTCAGTTCTTATTTCCAGTACTTTTAAAAATAAACACAGAAAATTGATTTGAATATAAAAACAATATGAAAATGAAGTATATATTTTTGTGGATTGGGTTGGGCCAAGAAACTTGAATATTAGCATTGATCACTAGAGCTGTAAGGTAGTTGTTTAGGCGTGGGTGTGGGTGGGTAAGTTCAGTAGCGATACCCACACCCTTCTTGTAGCAACGCGTTTTAATTAGACTTGATATATTGTAACGTCACTGGAATAAGAGAATTAGAAATATTTTTAAAACAGAAAGATCCGATACGTTTGCGCACTAGACTGCAGATAAAAAAATTTTTAAAAAGCATGGTTTTAGCAAGAGGAAGCAGATTTAAATTTGTTTCATATTTAATATCAAGTTTTTCGATCCAAGATTTATAATGAATAACTTCGATTGACTACTCCACTGATGTTCCATAGAGTACATCTGTGCATTAGTCAACACGATCATTTATGAACAAAGTATCTGCTGCGGAGAGGGGAGAGTGAGCGAAGATATTGATATTATTTTTTTTAATTTTCTGTCAACTTGAAATTAAATAAAAACATCAGTGTAGTCGAAAATCCGCTTCTTCTTCAGATTATACACGCCCTATATATATATACATCGCATAGTACAACACTGTGTGAGGGTGAAGGGCGTGTGTAACCTGAACAAATGTCCAGAATCCTAAAAAAAGTCGAATTAATCAGAAAAATCGAAAACATTTTTTGCAATTATTATCATGACTGGCCTCCTTCTCACTCTATATATATAAATCGTCTTCTTTCAGCAATAAGGTTTCACCGACACGTTCACAGTAGGTAACTTTAATGAAGCAGACGGACATGTAACTTGTGTGCTCTAAAATAGGTTTCCATTCCTCAGAGGTGTTTGTATATCATTCTGACAATCAACTTTTCGAAAATTTTTTGTTAGAAAAGGTTTTGTGTCATATACCATTCGACGTAGTTTTTCGTGCTGATTCCGAACATCACATTTAATATATAGTACCGGCTATGTCATCTGTGCGAGATGGCGCTTTGGCTAACACTAGACTACATATAGACGAATAATTAGAAAACGTTTAGAATCAATCGAATTAAGATTTTTTGTACCGTTCAAAAAGGACAGTATAACTCATTTTTAAAGCTTTCCTTGCATAAAGGTCAACTCATTTTTTTTCAAATAAACGCTTTTTATTACATATGGTCAGATGCAACTCGATGAGCTGATTCCGAATATCGGCTCGGTTTTTCACCAAAATGATGCCTTGCTTTCGAAAATTGGGATTTGAGGGTAAAAATCTCAGTTTTTGTAAGACCCATAGCACCGACTGTGCTCATCAGTGCACAACGGCACTATGATCAACGATAAACCACATGCAGAAGAACAATTAGTGAACGTTTGAGATCGATCAGATTAAACGTCTATGTTGCGTTTGAAAACTACGGAACGGCTGTTTTTCGAAACGTTGTTAGGCTCAAGATCGAGCTTGTTTTTTTGAAAAACATTTATTGTTATATATGATTGAATGTAGTTCGACCACCTGATTTCTGATATCAACTTGGTTTTGCAATGAAATACCTTGATATTAGAAAAATTAACGATTCCGGGCGAAAACCTCTGTTTTTAGGAAATCCCTAGCGCTGCGTCTATTCACTGATACGATATGGTGCTATGACCAACGATAGATCATATATAGGAGAATAATTTATGCAAGTTTGAGCTCAATAGGATGAGAACTCTTTGTCGCGTTCACAAGATACTACTAGACAATTTTTTTGACCTACTTTCGGCCTGATAATCAGTTTTTTTCTACTCAATTTCTGGTTCGATCGGAATAATTTTTTCACCCAATGAAGCTTATGAGTTAATCAGCCGTTTCTAATAGTTTTTCATTTTAAAATATTTTTGTAAGTTGATAACAGAAATGATCTTCGTAAAATTACCGATTTATGAGCAAATTATTTGATGATGGACTTTTCAGGATTGAACTTGATTGCTGGAAATCTAATTTTAGGGTAAGATAGACTAATCATACTTATATTCATTTCAATATTTGAACTTTGGAAAATAGAACTTGCAGTCATGTCTGCCTGACTACTCACTGTGCTTCACTCTAGTCTATATTCAAATGTGGTCTGTTGGAGCAGAGATGAAAGAGAATTCATATTAATAAAAAAAAAACATTCAATTCTCTGAATAGAATAATCAATGGGTTTTGTCTTATGTGTTTTCTCGAAAACTTCTTCAGCGTCTTCACGTTGTACTCTATGAAAATTTACAGATAGACAAATTTTGATTCTACAATTTCATCTGGCACCTTGGTATAGACGGTTTTTATTGAACATCTACTGCTTGATTAGCAACTTTTAATTGTTAATTTGACGATTGCTTTCGTTTATTCTAATATTATTTTAGAGAAAAAAACATTTCCTCTCGACTTCAAAACATTCTTTTCTAGTAAAGAAAAATTGTGCATTATTGTCAAACCAAACTTGAAATTATCACCTTAAAGTGTAGACATAAATTGTTGAATGACATCGATCGCTTGTGCACACGCTTTTGGATAGGTACCTGTATTTAGGAAAAATTGACTGATTGAGAGATTTCTGGATCCTTTTCTTACCTGGAAAAGCAAGAAAATCATGCAGGACACCTTTGACAAGTAAAAGTTTGGTTTTGACGCCAGCCTTGTCAAGTAACTTTTGATATGCTAAAATTAGAACATTTGATTTTTTCTTATCTGTTCAAACTCCGTGCTTACACCGTAACTATAGTCTCGGAGCGGATCCAGTTCAGCTACTATAAATTAACATGGTGGCAATGTGTCGAAAGATTTGTTGAGAAGAACAGATACTCGGGGATGTTTCAGATCGTTTGCATCACGAAATGCGTATAACTTCAACCTGTGTGAAAAGGAAGAATCTCTTTGATTTAAAGGAAATTCTATTTTGTATTTACCAATCGAGCGTTGCAGGTGTAAGAACGTACATCGGATCACTAAATTCTTTGTAAGACACTGTGCTACATGTAGCATCGAAAAACCCATAGACGAGAATCTATTTGAAAATGAAAATAAGACGTTTGGATGATGAGTGTCGCTGAAATCTATACCTGAAAATCAATATTTTTGATCGTATAACAAACCGATGCGCTAATCTGTGCACCAGCACTGTCGCCGCCCACGGCAATTTTCGCTGTTTGATCAACACCTGAATAATCATCAAATGCAAATCGAAGAGTTGAAAAGAGAGAAACAGACCGTAGGATACTTTATTTTCAAGAATTTGTCGAGTAACATCACATGAATCGTCAAGCCATATTGGATATTTATATTCTGGTGCAAGACGATATTCGACAGAGATCCAAATAGTCTTCGTTGCGCTAGGTAAGCAGACGCACAAAAAGTATCTTTCAACATGTTGTAAAGAAGACGATTTTTTCATCAATATTGAGATATAGATTCATTTTGTGCAAGCTCTTTGTTAAAATGCATCTCATCTATTTTCTGTAACCTGTTGAAATACCAAAAAAACTATTCGCACGATTTCAATGGTATTTGGCTAGATCAACTTATCACAGCTCTGTACGTGTGATATCACACTCGTAAAACCTATTCAGCTGGTATTAAACTTGATACTTATTTACGGTTATGACATTTTACCCTCATCTTCACGCATATTAAGCTTGGACAGGCTGACATAGATGCATGTTGGCTCCAGGTAATTCATCAACCTTGCAGTGAGGAATATGGGAAGAGAAGTTCTTACTCGGCAAGACTATTGACTATTGTTTGGTGCGTCTTGCGCTTGAACTAACCCAACCTACTTTCAAATAAAGTTATAAATTACAATCAATAAATAATCAGATCAGAATTGTACCTCCACCATGGAAAAATATAACTAGTTTATCCTTGTTGGCATCAATTGGTGTATAGATTATAATAGGGATTTCTAAATATTCAATGCATTAAGATAAAGAAGCAATAGAGATGATTATTGTAGTCTAAATTCACCTGCACAGTTGACCTTCACGTGCTTTTCTTGTAAAGTACCTTTGAACGTTCCGATAAGTTTTTCATTGCTTTTGGTAAACAGTTTTTCATCTGCCTCACGCACTTCTTTGGCCGTGGGACTTTCCAATGAGGGTAAAATTGCAACAGCTAGTTGATAGTAAGCATTCGCTTCATCGGTGAATCGTGGATCCCTGCAAGAGCAACACAAAGTAAGATATATTCATTAGCATTTACAGAACGTGAGCTTGCATGGTTTTATCACCAGTAGGAGCCTCGTTATCAGGTGATGACAATCACGTCGAGAATGGATGCGAGCAGAAAAAAAAAGAAAACTAAACAAAAAGAATACTTTTAGAGAATTAAATTTTCGTTGTCGCGTGTGACTCGTGCTGCCTGATTCTAACGAACGAGAAAACAAGAATTGCGCACGTCGCCCGTCAAATCTCTGGTGTCTCAAGCAATCAGTGCATTCAATCATCTATAGTATTAACTGGGGGGTGGGTTTGGATGCGAATGTCTTTTTCTGGTCCATACCCACATCCATGTGTCGAAGTACAGGACTGTGAATGATTAGGAGAGAGAGAACAAAGTAGTATTGTCTGTTTCTAAAGCAAAATTGTTTACGCTTTAACTACAGTAGTAGCTGCTGATTCATCCTGTGTTTAACCATCTTGGCAATTCTCACAACTACTACTGGCTTTCCATACAAATGCTTGAATACTTTTCATGAGACTTTTCAGTCAACGAACGGTTCCCTCGAGTATGACGAGTGATATCAATTCAAAACCTTGAATTGGTGTCAGACGCCGTTGAGAGTCATTGTTACATCACTTATTGTCATCGTGTGTGTGTATTATGTAGGTAGAAGAGAGAATAATCACAAATATTGTCATTTTTTAATGAACCGTAATAAACAAAATAAAAGAATAAAGTTTTCGATTCTGTCAATAAAGAGAAAGAAATATGTTTATAGTTTGTTTGTCTTTCGCCACTATAACTGTGTAATGCACGTGTTTTTGGTTAACTTGAGTTTGAATATTGTAACGAGAAAATGAAAAAGAAATATTTTGTGATACACATCATATTATTTTTCGCTCCTCTTACCGTTTTCTTTAATCCAAACGCAAATAATGTCATTTTTATTATTGCTCTGTGAATCAGTCTAAAGGTGAGGAAGTGAGTAATTTTTTTATTATCGCACAATGACTACACAACACTGCAGAACTTCAATGCATACATTCTAGATAGTACCTTTTTTTGCGACCAATTTCTTCTGTGTATTGCTCAATATAATGAATGATACAGGGATGGAACAACTACCAGACGAACTTCTGCTCCTCATCTTTTGATATCTACATAAACTGGATATTCTCTGTGCATTTAATAATTTAAACAGCCGATTTCAACAGATAATAACACCTTACTTCCTTTGAAATTGATCTTAGCTCTGTATCATTCAATCAGTTTAACCAGTTTGTGACACAAGTTGTACCAACTCAAAAACATAACATTTACTCACTCAAAGTGCAGTAGTTTTCACCACAGTTAGCATACTTTGTTAAATACCTAGTTTCTCGTTTTACCCTTCTTCAAAAAGTAATGTTATTCTCGAATGTTAACCCTTTCAGGACCGGCTTATTTTGAGCAAAAATTACAAATTTTTCAATTTTTCAAAAATGATTTATTCTTCTCAGATTTATCAAAATGTGAACATCAGAAGGCTTTCAAAGTGTGATATTGTTTGAAACACTCCGGGTTACATAGTGGAACATCACAATCTGGACAATAAAACCTTGTATCGCTTCGTTTTTTTTCTCGCTTGACTGTATGACTACANAAAAAATGACACATTATATTACGAGCAAATTCAACATTATCAGCCGGTGGGACAAGATTACTTATACTATAAGAAAAAAAAATTCATCTTTGTCCAAAACTCAATATCTTTATTGGAAATTCTCGAAGTTTTAACATTGATGCGAGTTGATTTCGATCTAGTGGAAGAAGTCCACAGGTAAATGTCATGGGATAGGACTAATGATATGAATCACTGAATTCTGGCCATTGGCAATCATTCAAAATCATTAGATAATCCTTTCTATTCCTTATCAATAAACTCACTTATTAGTCGCATTGTTCTCCGCTGTTGCCATATTGATTCAACAGCGAAAAAAAGAGATTGTTTCTAAAGCAAACAACAAAAGCATCTGTATCCGTCACTTGTCGTTTTCTATTGTTTGTGTTGTATCTTGTATAACAAAGAAGATATTATTTTTTTTCTTTCGAAAAAAATTTTTTCTTCAGTACTACTCAAGTTCGAAAATATGCATGGGATGAATACATACACACACACACACACAACAAATAAACAAACGAAGAAGGAAAACAATAAAGACGAAATACAGAGAAGACAAACATCTTTCTTTGCAGCAAAAAAAAAGAATAATCATCGAACTTTATACAAAAAAATAGTTTGTTTAACTTGGAAGAGAATGTTTAATGACAAGCACATCAATCACATTCTAAATACATAGTATTTGTTTTATTCCAAATTGAACAGACTTAACCAAGTTATATATATGTATATGCATATATTTCTATATGAAAAAATCAACTTGTACTATTCGTAGAGTATTTGTGCTCATTCAATCTGATATTGTTCTTGTTGAAGATGAATTATTCACATTAACTTGTTGAAGTAATTCAGCTAATTTTGCTTTATCAATTGATGTTGAACCAAGTAATGCTTGCGCTACTTCTGGAATAATATGAATTGCTATCATAAGTACAGATGATGATGACGATGATGAACCATCAGCTGTTGTTATTCGTGTTAATGGCGCAAGAGCAAGTAAATCTTGTGCATTTGTAAAATTAATAGTAACACATTTATTATTTCCATTATTATTATTTGAATCTCATAAAGTTGTTATTGGAATTGATTTCAAATCCGTTTTCGAGATATTTAATGTATTATCTGTTGTTGTTGGAATTGGTAAACGTGTTTTTGTACATAGATGACGATGTAATAAAATTTCTAATTGATTTTTTTGATTAGTTAATGTTTGAACTGAACGTTCGAGAGATTTTTGTTCTTCCGTCAACATTTGTTCAGTCTATTTAGAAGAAATAAATAAATAAATATATAGAATAAATGATAGATAATAAAACAAAAACAAACTTTTTCTAATTCTTCACGAAGATCGTTTCGTTTTCGACGACATTTAGCAGCAGCTTGTTTATTTCTATGACGACATTGTTTACGTTTTAAATCTTCTTCCGGTGGAATCTTTAAAAGAAAATAATATGATTTCAAATTTTAGATAAAGAGAGATTGAATGCATACTGGTTCATCTTTACTTTTTCGCCCACTACAAAGTGTTCGTGCAACATTTTTGCTTGGTTTTACCAGAATTGGACCATACTGAATTGGTTCAGTAGTTTGTTGTTTATTATTTTTTGAGTTTGTTTTCTTAAATTTTCCTCGGTTTGGTTTTGTTCGAGATTTTAAATCATTTCGTGTTTGATTATATTCATCTGATAAGATCTGCTTTCGATTTCTTTTTTGAAAAATACCAAAAAATAATTTTCCCATCAGTTAAATACAAATAAAAAGTTCTTTGTAATTGATTTTATATACACCATTAATGAATAGCTTAAATAAAAAATGTTTTCTTTGTTTTGTTTTTATGTTAGCTTAGCATAGACAAAAGAAAACACAAAAAGACAGAGTAAAGCGAACGTTAGTTAAAGATAGAAATAAAGTAAGGTGGGAATAATCCAAAATTAAAGCAAAATTTTTTTTTCTTTCTTTTATACACCATTAGATAGAGCTCGTCGAGCTGAGTAAGAATATATCTCTTTGAATTTTTTTTCGAAATGATTATGTGAAAAAGTTTCCACTTTTTTCAATTCAGTTGAAAAATCGCATTTTTCTTAAAAATATGGATATCTTCAATGTTTTTTGAAATTTTAATAGAAATTTCGTTCTGTTGAAATTTTAAAAATGGTATATTCGNCCTAATTGTTATGTTTTCAAACATAAAAATATTCAGTGATGAGTATTGTCATATGATTGAAATAATAACCTCCAAATCTCATGAGTAAATCTAACTAAATGATATATAGCTTTTGTGATGATTCTTACCTCATTAGGTAGGCCCTATTGAAATTTGAACAAGACTAAAAGGAATCATATGTATGGATTTTCTTTCTTGAGTTATAGCTATTTTAACTCTTTGAGTACTATTGCTTGATTATGATAGCTAGAAACTTCTAAAGTTGTGGGATCATTGTTAACAACGAATAGTAATCATTTAACAAGTTAGTTATCTTTTTCTTGACTTATTCTTTTTACCAAAATGCTACCATAACTGTCTTTTATCTAAAACATGAATTTGAAGTTTTAGCTCTTAATAGTTTTTGAAATACAGCTATTTTACAACCGAAAGTCATTCTTTGAAGTTTGAAGTCCTCTTTCAGAAGGATTCAAAAATCAGCTGAGGAATATTATTTTCACTTAAAAATTGCATCAGATACTCTACTGCACACTAAAAACATACATAAGTAGATAAGGATGAGAAAGTAAGGACCATCTCCTCTAACATATCTGCTGTGGTCGAATTTTCATCATAATCATATAATGATATAATAATTCAAATGTAGAGGGAAAATATCTACAGGTTAAATATTGTCAAAAAGACTTCATTCTCAGTTGAGCTCTAAGTCAGTTCATTTATTTTAGATTCTATTCATTTTCCATATATTTGCAGGCAAAGTTAATAGCATATTTGAGATCATTCGACATAACTACAGCGTCAAATCTCGATATCTCTCTTGCGTTCGCAAGTTACCCAAAAACTAAGAAGCTCTAAAAAATGTACAGAATTGTGTCTACCGATCTTCAAAGCGTTAATACGAATTGCTAGAAAATGCTGTGATCTCACGAATATTATTCGTTTCACTCTACAGATTGCTTTTTCAATAGTAAGTAGTGAATGTAACTAACGATCAATGTTTTGTTTAATTCAAAATTCAATTAGTATAGAAAGGAGTGTAACCCACATTTATGAAATAAAAAACCGATTATTATGATAATGATTTAGTGTCGAAAAAATATGCACAATTTCTTGTCAAGAATAAGGCTGCTTTTTTGTTTCATTTCATAAGCTAGTCGCTTGATTAATCAAACTTTTATTTATTTATTTTTTTATAAAAAATAAGTGATTTCTTTACACTACGAGTTCACTGATGTTATTTATCTCATATGCGAATAAGACCAATATGAGTGTATTGAAGTTACAAAAAAAGAACCAAATATTTCTTTACTTTTGTTTTTTTTTTGTTCCTTTTTTTTTTAAGAATTTACTCTTGCGTTGATCTTCTTTGTTCCTCGTTATAATACAATGCGTAGCATTTAGATGGTATCTGTGAATGATAGGAAAAAAATACAAGGAACGGAAAAATCCACTAAAATATTTTCCTAATTTGATCTAACTTGTGATTAAATATCGAATCATCATAAATTTTTTCTGAAAAATCATTCCGTAAATCTTCATCTAAAAGTTAGTTAATTAAAAGCAAAACAAAATAATCCATAATATATTTCGTTATATAGAAAATGGCAGTTTTTAATTTTTCAACATAAACATGACTGATAATCAGAGAAAAATTTCTCCATCAAGAAGAGAAATGCGTAAGTTTTTTTTTCTCATCAATTATTTCGTGTTTTTGTCATCTGTAACTACATTTCAATATTCTCTTTCGCTCTTCGTTTGTTACTAACGATGAATGTCTTTGTCTATCTCTTTTGTTTTTCATAACAACATATTTAACAGAGAAGAAATAAGTAGTGACATACAATTAAAAGAAAAGGAAAAGAAATGAACTAACGGGACAAAAAAGCTAAAAAAAAAGGAAGTGAATACCGTTTTAAATAAAGTACTCTGATCATTCTTTCATAAGCCTATTTTCAACAAGTCCAAATTAAGAATATCTATCTAAACTATGGACAACGTAACATCAATAGCTGACAAATCTGGTGTCAAACAATAACGGAGCCAAGCATCTAAGTAGATTCTTAAGATGAGCTGCATTTCAGCGTGCACACGCTAACATTCTAATTACGCAAGATGTCTCTCTGATTTGCTTGGTCAATACAACTGATGATAACAGCACTGATTACCGTAATAAAATTACACAATCATAGTCGACGGGACATTTTGGTTCTAGAATAGGTTCAATATTTTTCATAAAACCGTCATCTGGAAGTTAAAAAGGAGAGAAGGAGAGCTTTAAATGACGCTCAGATGAAATACAGTTAATATCTCTTCTATCAAACTCAATTATTATGATTATTCGATAGAAACAGCGAAAAATATTGGCATTTATACAGAAAATATGATATACTACTCAAAACTATCAATCTAATGGAAAAGAAAAGGTGTTTGAGGTCACTTTAGCCTTGTGGCTCTGTCCCCTATGCTTATTGAACATGAATTAGTAGTAGATAAAATGTTCGCTAACCTTATAGAAACTCACCATCTGTCAACAGAAAATCAAAAACAAAATATTAATCGAAAGTTTTTACACTAAATAGAGCTTATTCAGGCTTGATACCTCGGCCGCCTATGATATAGACTAATACAAGTATGCTAATTTATTGAAGACATTCATTTACATAGAACTTCAATTAAATTTCATAATTATAGTTTAAAAGTTGGCATAATTAATATAATATTTTATTTCAGTAGAATAACTTTATAGAAACGCGAAAACGAATCAATCAGATTATTAAAATCTATTTTACGATGGGAAGCTAACACAAGCTTTTTTAGTTTTAGAATATAATGACTGAGTCATAGATAAGATCTACAAGTTTTACTTATTTAAATGATTAAAGAATTTTTCAATGTTTCAACTATGATGATTTGCATTCAGCAGAGTTCAATCTATGCTCAATACATCTTACAGCAGATATCATCTATTTTACATAGATAAATCATCAAATATTCAACTAAATGATCTTGTGATATTTGAAAGATTTCTTGTATTATTTTTCAATAGAAATACATAACAGAAATCCGGTTGAATCCGATCCGATCAAAAGTCTGCAGACAAAAAAGGTATTTTACATGTGTTACTATTTAAAATGTGTATTGTAGAGTTTTGCAAAACGTCGGTACGACGAGGAATTATGCATTGCATATTTATTCATACTACTTCATTAACGTTTTTTTTATAATCAGCATGAGATAACATCTCAAAGCTAATGCACTCTGTTAAATGGTAATATAGAGGCTCCAGACTGTAAGTACGTGACAATACATACACATAAAAGAAATATTCACTACATATTCGTATTATTCCAATCACGTAATATCTGTTAGTGTTATACGTCAATGCAGCATAGTTAGCTAAATCATCTTCAACTACCAACCAAAAATTTTATTAATTCTAATGAATTCCACTCTTTTTCCAATTTCAATCAAGAATCTTAGATGGTACATGGTTTTCATTCGACTTCAAAATGCCATGCGAATATTATGCATGTCAATTATCGAAAAAATCGAAGCATCAAAAAAAGAACCAATGAAGTTGTTTAATAAGTGGTTGCGAAACACCTTGCTCTAAAACATAATTACGCTTTTCTGAAATCGAGATATTCTATCTTTGGAAATTGCAAAGCTTTTGCTTTGGTCGATCAGCTCATCAAAATCAAAATAAAACTGAAAAGTAGCCATTCCGAAAGTCTTTCCTAAGAGAACCCTATGAACAGTTATCAACATGTTTCTAATGAATTCTATCGACTGAATCCTCTTTCAGTCATTACCTATCATCAATTGTATTCACAGCTATCTTAACTATAAGCAAAAAGAATAGCCATTAACTCGAAGCGATCTTGATACATTCATATCGCGTTCGAAGGAATATTTTCTGAGTTTCTATTCTCGAGATCATCGCAATAAAAAAATGACATCTTCAATGCATACGACCACATTATTAAACAGAAGAAGCGAGATCAAACAATGAGTAGTTCACTTACATGAATTGACAATAGATGTACTTTAAGACCTTGAGACACTCCAGATCAGCTCAACAAGAAATTTGTTGTCTTGTGTTACTAAAATTTGACTTATGTGGGGAACATTGATAAGCATAATCCCTAGTATTTTCATTTTACAAATATTTGAATCTTATTTATATCATAAATGACTTATGACTTATCGAGTACTACTTCGACTGGTTTGTCAACAAAATAATTCTTGATACTCTCGAAATTATAATAATTGTTTTCATTACAATATCTATGCTCATATATCTTCATATTTTTGCATCTAAATCACAATGTTCATTGGTTGTTTCCTTACTTTTTAATGAATCTATCTAATATTCAATAGTTGAAATCAATATGAAAAACAAAAGATAAAAAATTAGAAAAAAATATAATAAGCAAGCATTATTTATATATTTCGAATAGAAGCGTAATCAGTTAAAGCTCAATTTTTATCAAGATTTTTGATTGAATGAAAAATAGTATCAATGGATTAATTCGTTTTCATCAAGTAATTAGCAAGTTCATAGATAAGTGTTGACTGGGGCTATTGGCATAGAATAATTGAAACCAGGTTGCTCTATGTATTGTATTTGTTTTTCAGGATTATTGTTATCAGCTACATCCGAGGTCGGACATCCATGTATAAGAAAAGGTATGGCCATCAATGCCAACATAATCATAAAACAATTTATAATACCTATACCCATATCCTGTTGATTGGATCGTCTAATAATGTATTTCAAGCATCCTTCAGTATAAAATTGGCTATAAGATGTGCAACCTTAACAAAAAGAATATGATATTTACATGCTCAGATCGTATTAGGACCACGAGCACTTCTTACTTGGTTGTACTATACCACCTGTGCCAGGCGTATTAATAGAACAACACGTTCGCGGAGCCCAAAATGCACCATTGTATAACAAATTATATGGCAAATTATTTTTTGGTATTACTTGTCTCTTTTTTCGAGACGCTAACATCAGAGCCGTTGGTGGTAGATCAAGGTAATTTCTAAGAACAATAATATAATGGAAGATTATTCATTAAATTTCCAGCATTTTGATTAATTACTCACGTTTCTCTACGGTTAATATAATGTGTCCTTGATGATAATGCTGATGAATCATCGTCGAATAAACTTGTAATATCTTCTTCTAATAGTGTATTCGCTGTATGACCGAAACGTCTTCTTCGTTTTGCCCCCGTAAATATAATAGAACCCGTGTTGCTGTAAGCCCAATCAATCCCTGAAGCACTACCACAACATTCATATTTTTTTTGTATATTATCAACTACATCTGTGGCAGCTGCATTAGTTCTATAACCAAACATGTAGGTTGCGAATTGCGTTGTTACATAGCTTGCTGACTTTGAATTTATAATAAGAGCAGTAATCAAAGAAGCAAGAGCGAAGACACCAAGTATACCGGACAGAATGGCTATAATTTTACCTGTTGAATGAAAAAAAAAATATACATCACAATACGTACAATTGTGTGATTAAAGTGGAATTTTAGAAGTTAATTTTTTCAGAGGGAATAAAATAAGATGTACTCATAGTAAACAATAGGATGACTAGAACATTTTGATAATGGTTAAGTTACAGGGAAAATAGAGTGCATGACAAAAATATATGAGTCAATTTGCTTTAAATAGTTGTTTTTAGAAAATAGACCAAAACTTACCGAAAACTTGCTGCTGTGTTAATAAACAGAATAGACCAAATCCTCCTACTAGAATACCTAGAAAACTAATTACAATATTGAAGGCAGATAATCCAGTCTCAGGATCAAATATATCACCGTAAGGACGATTTGTTGCGATAATACCAATACTAACGCCGAGATGAATAAAAGAAAATACCAAAAGTAAAATCATAATAATGATGCCATAATAATAAAGTTGTAATCCCATATCGAAGAAAGAAAATATGAGTATTCAGATAAAAAAAAATATGGGTCGGTTAATTACTATATTCGATTGCACAATTTTTACTCACATATACGTTTATTGCATCCTAGACTGCTGTATGGTCTTGTGAAGGATACAGAATAAATAAAGCATGTGAAACGAACATGATGGAAAGAGGAAAATCAGTGAGGCAAGACGTAATTATTTGTATCATGAAATAAGAAACATAAATATTCATCAAATATCACGAATAAAATCAAGAGAGTAATGAAAAATTTTCTCTTCAAAGCTAATGATGATTATTGCATCACTTTAACATGATCTTATGAAATAAAATAAATTAGTTCCTTGTCATCGTAATAATCATTTTGGTCTAATAATGGTCGATACTGACAAAAAACTTCTCAACATAACATTTTTAAAAGTATGAAAATAGTTTTCAATGTTAAGACAACCATAAAGCAATTTATAAGACGAATGCTCCTTACTTGATTAAAAGCAGTTAATAAAATTGATTTTGAACATCGAATACTGTAGAAATGATTTGTAACATCTCAAATATTGGATGCAGTCTTCAATATAAAAGAAAAGAATACTCTTGTTTTTCTTCTACTCAAATAGATCTTGATAGTTACAAGAAGCTCACATATTGCTTGTTGTTATTGTCTCCCTTTAACGACAAAATCTAGATCAAGTGACATCAAAAGACAATCCTATACTTTTGATATAATTATCTGTAGAGATCACCTGATTCTTTTGTAGAGAGATATGAGAAAGTATATATAATTGCTGATGAAACTGGTTGGTAGTATCTACAGGTGCTTGTGTAATAGTAGTAGAGTTCGAGGCGGCTTTAGTGATGGTAGTGATGCTCGAGTCATGATGTTAGTTATAGTTGTTGTGATACCGATAGGTGTCTTTGGCATTGCACGTCTTCTTGTAAAAGAAAGGTAGTTTCATTATCTAACAAATGACACTGCATTGACAGCAACATGCATTCAATCAAACTAGTTTGTTTCATTATAGCAGTGACTTTCTATTTTGTAAACGATTAATTTTAGGTCTTGCATTCTGATCACTTTTGTGTTTATTTTAATTACTTGATAAACGTGTGCTCACATGTTTTGATGATTTTCAATTTAGAACAAGTGTGGTAGTCAAATAATACAAGACAAGAATACCTAGTATATCAACTATAATAGCTGTAGTTCTCCGTAAAGAAAGAACAAAATATTCTACATAAAGTTACAAAAACTTTTACATTCGAAGTATTCATGTTATGAAAAAAATAAAATAATCAAATTGAAAAATACTATATAAATATTCTTGTTGTCTATAGTTCGAGGGTATTATTTCATTCGAAAATAGATAATAAATCGAATATTTACAAGAAATATTGTCATCAACAACTGCTAACGATACTCGAATACACTCTTTTTTTCATGCTTCAATGAGTATGATGATGATTATCGATTACTCGTGATCTATACTCTAACAGAGAAACACAGTTCAGTTTTTATATTTTTATTCATAAATCTATTATAGAGACAATACCATATCGAAAACGTCTAAAAAATTATTCTCTCAAGAGTATGAGTAGAAGTAGAAATAGTGGATCTGAAAGCATGGTATGTTCAATAGTAATTAAGAAAAAATGCAACACAAATAATGAGATAGAGAAAAGATAATTTTATTTACGATCGAGAAACATCATCATATTGACAATATCGTGCAATGATTCTAATGGTAACACCTAAGTGAATCAGAGCATAAGTCAAAATTAAATCTATAATAGTAATATCAAGGATATGTGCACCGAGTCTCATATCAAATAATTCCAATAATACAATTTATAAGCAAAAATAATAGATTTCAATGATCACGTTTCAAAGTATTCCTATTTTCTTCACATTGATACATGTACCATGCGTGAAATGTGATAGAAATAGATACGTAATAGAAAGAAAAAAAAATACCAAGCATACAACGCATGAACAGAAATAAATGAATATCAATGTTAGACAATCATATGATGATGAAGGCTGTATATTTTTTTATTGCTGACCTTGTATCTAGTACTGAATAATCAAACGATTCATTTTTGCGATTTTTTTATCTATGATGTTTGTGTTCTTTAAATTTATAACATTTGGACGCGTTTTGAATTTATATCACAATGATATATTTGATTACAAATTTTGATTTGTATTGAAACTACTAATTGTTATGTTTTCAGACATCAAAATATTCACTGATGAGTATTGTCATATGATTGAAATAATAACCTCCAAATCTCATGAGTAAATCTAACTAAATGATAAATAGCTTTTGTGATGATTCTTACCTCATTAGGTAGGCCCTATTGAAACTTGAACAAGACTAAAAGGAATCATATGTATGGATTCTCTTTCTTGAATTATAGCCGTTTTAACTCTTTGAGTAGTACTATTGCTTGACCATGATAGCTAGAAACTTCCAAAGTTGTGTGATCATTGTTAACAACGAATGGTAACCAGTTAACAAGTTTAGTCCTCTTTGCTTGGTTGGATCATGAAGTGTAAACGTTTTATTTCTTTTGGCATAAAATGCTGATAACTCCTGAGTGAAAAGAGATGAGAAGATTTTTTTATCCAAATTTAGCCCTGAGTTTCCTCTATGAGAACATGATGTTGAAGAGTTAAGTCTTCATAGTATTGGAAGTATAGCTATTTTATGACAGAGCGTCACTTTTGAAGTTTGAGGTCCTCTTTCAAAATTACACCAGATACCTTTAAATGTGTATATACTCATACACAAAATGTTGCTATCATTTCAATTGTTCTTTAATAGAAGAAGATGAAAGTTCTACTATAATTTGCATTAACAATATTGAAATTACGTCAATAAAAATTTACGAGTACGTATCTGAAGTCATAAAATGATTTTTTTCATTAAACGTATTAACGACTACCTTATTAACTAATAATGTGATTTCAACTGTTATTTTTAAGTAAAATGTCTTATTAAAATTTTTATTTTTTTCAATCATCAATGTAGAAGATCAAAGAGATATTTGTTTAAAATGGAAACTTTTATTCACAATGTTATCATAACAGTGTTTCCATTCATATAATTTCAATAGCTGAAAAAATTAAAATTGAATAAATAATGGCTCTGCAGCTGATCAAAAGTAATGTCAATATACTATGAATGCATACAATCTATTCAAATAGTTTTACATTATAGAAGAATGACAACAATATCAAAGGCTATCTATGTCAAATAATTGAAACATTGATTTTACATATGTTTAGTAACATTTTTTTCTTATTGATTTTCAGTTGAAACAAAATGTTGATCATTGTTTTCATACTCTTAAAGTTGTCAAGTATTGATCTGAACAGTTTTAGTCGTTCAATATTCGAAATAATTGAGATCATATATTATCACAAAGAATTTTTTGTTAAATATTCATCAAAAGAAGTCTAATAAACGAAGTCTTTCGAGCGAGTTTAATATATTTTATTCTACTGGATTAAAAAAATACATTATTCTGTTTGATGATTGTCGTTCTATTGATATATTGATTAAGCAAAATTTGAGTTAATAACTGAAGGTTTTAATGATTCACATCTATAAGTCATGTAATGCGTTGTATAATCAGGATATCTTTTAATGAATATTGGAATAGCAGCTAATGCAAAAGCAAGAAGAAAACTATTGATAACAGCAATACCGAGTGTTTGACTGACAGCATTTTTGCTAAGTTTTGTCCAGCAACCTACTACGCGAAAAGTGTTTGGTACATTATTAGCATTCGATACGCAATCTAAAGAAAAGTAAAAACACAATATTTATCCTCATTTCTGATGTCTTAGCATATGAAAGATGCTACTTGCATGAATCGAATGAATTGAATGTTGTTGGTACATCATTTGTACAGCAAGATTGAGGTAAAGCAATACCATAAGATAATGGCAAACCATATATGTTACCATAGTTTGATCCTGGTTGTCGTTTTTGTCGAATGGTTTGTTTCAGAAAACTTAACATATCAAATTTCAATGGTTAGTACCAAAGATCGTGCCGATTGACAAAGGATTCTCATCAGACGATGGTCTAATTTGTCCGAACGTTTTCATGCTCACATCTGTCTTCTTCTTTGTATCTGCCGTAGGTTTCAATATCCATTTGGCATATGGGTTTGATTTCGCTTCTATTTCTAAATTTGGATCTTGCTGTGCATCTGATACAAATGTTGAATTTTCAAGCACTTTTGAAGTGTCGAAATATTGTGAATCGCCAATCGATTCTGCATTCGTGGTTGTTTGCAAGCCTTCGATTGAGTCCGATCCAAAATGTATGCCTTAGATATGTAATGAGAAAATATTGTAAGCATTTATGAAGTACTAAATGATCTTTCTGTTAATTAATTAATTCATTATATTTAAATGAAAAATTAAATTAATGTTAAATATTAATATTTTTATTTATTTTTTGAAAAGGTTTCAGAAAGTCTATTTCTCCTTGTTGAGTTCGTTTTGTCTTTTACATTAAGATAAAGTTTACGCTATATGGTGGCCGACATTTTTCTATAAAACTTTCGCAAAATGTTACGAAAGAATATTAATATAGGATGCATGTGAAGGCTGAGACTAATATTATTAGAATATATATCAGAGTTTGCACTCAATATATGTTCAAATATGAGTGAGTCATGTTTTTAATAAGAGACAGACGAGATTAATAAAAAAAAAAACAACACAAATAAAGTATGACCTGATGTATTTTTGTCCATGAGTCTGATAAGTCTGATTTGAAAACATTATTCTTGTTTTCCTTTCCTTTTCTTTCGTGACAAGCAAGCTCACCAACAAGGTGAACAAGCGACTTGGTTGTATTAGGTAATGATTTTGTTTTGGCTCTGAGTGTGGGTTACAAGGATTATTCACAGTCATAGGCATACATCATAGTCACATCCTGGATTCACTGGCAATTTTGTTCGTTCAGCAATCTAAAATCATCATGCAGCAAGGCGAGTTGTAACATACATTAATTGAACAATTATTATCTGAAGACACATACAAAAACTTTTGACTACGGCATTAGATGAACATAACCTATAAATGTTGTGGATAGGAATTTATTAATCCATATCTATTTAACTCAGAGTCAAATTGGCAAAATTCCGTAAATATATTGGCGAAAGTACAGCGAACTTTCGCTAATTGGTAAAAGCATCGGGGATATATTAACGATTTTTTGACACCCTACATTATACTATTTACCTATCTGTCTATTTTTCTTTTATCTCATAGTGGGATGGATGATGAAAGCACATAAGTTTTACAGTCCCGAATTATTGTCTTGCCTTTCCGTTCCACTATTCTTATAGAGTAATACGTGAAATTATAAAGTGTAACAGTAAAAACAAACTGAAAAACAAGAAAGAAATTCAACGAAACGTTTTCAAAAAATAAATAAATAAAAGTATTATTTTTAACATTAATTTAATTTATAAGTTAAATACAATCAATTAATTAATTAACAGCAAAGGAATTTAATTAACTGAAAAAACCTATACCTATTTTTACAGCAGAACTTGTGCTAGTTTCTAATCTTGTGTTAACAGTTGCTCCAGTTGTCTTTGTCGCACTTCTACGAGACGATGTTGTAAATACATTTGTGTCTATAACAGATGATATGATAGTTAGATCTGAACGAAAGGTTTTTGCCCAAACCTTATTTATTTATCATTTGTATCTCATTGATGTTGGATGATGTTTCATTCAACGATAATCTAGCCCAATCAAGCCACATATTATTACCACAACAAGCATATTCTGTTTGAATATTGTCAATGATATATCATGCTTTTAGATTATCTTGGTACTGAGCCATATTGTTCAAGAAATGTGAACTTACATAATCAATAGTTAGATAATTCATAATAAACGCAATAAGAAGTGAAACAAGAGCACATGCATTGAGTAATACACAAAAACTAGCTGCAAATTTACCTTTAAAAATAAAGCAAATATATTAGTTCCATTGACACATATTCCTGTAGTGGGCATCAGAATTATTCAACAAGATTTATTTTCAACTTTTTTTCATTGCTGTAAGCTTTAGAAAGATTCCAACTACGTAGTCGTTCTAATAGAAAAAAATTATATTCAACAGGAATATAATGAGATTTTTTAAACTCGGGTCCGAGTTCACAAAATCATATACCGGTAGTTCCCTAGTTGGTTAATCTCCTTTACATAAATACAACTATGACTATTCAATACGACTGAAGATTTTGTTGTTACTGTTGGTTTGATAATTTTCAACAATGAACTTTATTTAGCATTTAACTATTCAATTTCCTTCTTTGTTATAATATAATGATCTTTTTTAGACTAAGCGAAAACTTTTAATTTATTAGGCATCGAGTGATGGTAAATTTAACAACAAGAAATGAATGTACATTGACTTTTTTCTGAGTAGCCAATAAACAGCTAAAGCCTTGATCTTTCACATGTTCATGTGCACAAAAGGTGTCGGATGTTGATGGAAAAAATCTCGACTCTGAACCAGGTAGGTTACGACTATGGATCTGCTGAATTGACAACAACATTGACCTACAGTTCTCTATTTGTAACTCTTCGGTCTTTACTTATCTCATGCACAGATACAATTGAATCCACTTTTCATAAAATTATTATCGATTATGTCTAAGAACAACTCTAATTTTCATTTTTTCGCATCAAGTTAACATATCATAAATTGTACACATTGAGTTTTTTTGAAAAATGTTTCTTTTGATATAGTGAAAAAGAGATAGAAAAGGGCCTCATCTATATTAAAATAGATTGCAAATTCGTCAAACAAACTAAATTATTTCTATTGACGCTTCGTCAAATTTTCCAGTCGACATCTATTTCAATGATAGATCCTGATCAGAGATGAGCACAGGAGGACCGCACCGTCCTGTCCTGTGCTCATCTCTGATGCAGCACCACTGCCATCTCAAAATTCACATACGTCTACATTTATTCCTATTGTTACTTCGTCTAAGCCTCGACTAGCTATTCTACATACAAATACATTTACATCAACATCAATCATGCCATTTACTATGTCGTTAACCAACACTTTATCTAGTTTTAGTGGTAAAGAATGTGATATGCCAATAAAATTTATAAGCGAATTCGAAATTCGTGCATCTGTTCTTGTTGCTCACAATGATGATTATTTGCTTCGTGCTATCTAACAATCTTTATCAGATACAGCTCTTACTTGGTATATTCAAACACAAAAAGAACAACATATTCATACTTAGGCACAATTTAAACAGCTATTTCTTCATCGATTTCGAACTCCAGAAAAAATCGAATCATTACGTGGTTAATTACGAACGTTATGGCAAGGTGACAATGAATCAACTGCTGATTATTTTGAACGACTTAAAGCACTAATATCAAAAATTAAACCTCAATCATCTACTGATTATATTAAATGACAATTTTTTCAAAAACTACGCAGATATACGTGATAAGATGACACTGGGTCTTACATCTACCTTATCTGATCTTGTTCAAAAAGCTGTCGAAATCGAATTGAATATTGTTCAACATAAAATTGATGACAAACTTCGTGATGCACATAAAGAAGGAAACATCAATAAACAAAAATCTACTGTTGTTAATAATCTCTTCAGCATTTCTAAACCTAATTCATCAGCTTTAAGAAATTACGATGCACAAGAGTCATATGATAACTATAATGATAATATCAAGTACAGCAAAAATCAACATGATCATTTCGGCAATAAATACTTACACATCTTTAAAAATTCAAAAATAACTTTTAAACTAAAAAGTCGGCTATTGGCCAAATTACATTGAATATTATTTAAATGGCAAAAAAAGTATCACTTTAATTTTTTTCCACCAAACGGCATCGTTATTGTTCACTGTCTGGACTCAATAGAATTTCTTGTTCAAAAACTCCTCTTTATATGACAAATATATATAGAACAAACAAACAAAACAAAAAAAGACAGACTATCCACTGTATTAAACAACACATTCATGAGCTGAAATAAAACTTTTTTTATTCGTCTGTTGTTGTGGCAATTGATCAACATCCATTTCAATACTCCATTCTAATGAGTTAATATTTGATTGATTTAATTTTGTTGACGAATAAGAAATTGACGATGGAGATGCATTTGAACTAGCAAAGCCATAATCCGTACTTAATGATTGACATGGTTGAGAATTTAAATATACACACGGTGGACATTGATTATTACGTATCAATTCAGCTAATTTAAGATCATAAAAATAAGTTGAAGGTTGATAATTTTGAACATCTGATGAATCATATTGATTATTATACCATGAATTTATTTGTATTGGTACGACACTAGATGATAATGATGATGAATTTGTATTGATAATACAAGCTGAATCTCCTAAATACATAAAAATGAAAATATAAATTAATTTTAAATAAATTAAACATACGATCATCTTCACGAATTGTTGAACCAGATGAAGTTTTAAAAGTCTAAAAAATAAAATTGATTTTTGTTTTCTATTAAAAAGTTTATCACATTTTTCTTTAATACCTTTTCACTTTGAAAATCATCATTACATTGTAAAAACTTTTGTTGGTTTTTAAATAATTTCTTATGTTTCGGTTGTTTTCGACAATAAAAACAAGTTATTATTGAAAATATAAATACACATATACATGTTATTATTATAGCTAAACAAATTGCCCAAAAAAGTAATATTTGATTTACTTTTTGATTTTCATAATATATTAATTGTTTACATGAATTTTTTATTGAACTATTACATATATCAATTTGAAGTTTTATTAAAAAATTTTCTTCTCTATATTCATCAATAATATTAAAAAATAATATATATGATGATGTATAAGGTTTTGATATAAGACGAAGTTCACCTGTTGAACTTATATTCCAACATGTAAATAAATCTGTATTATTTAAATAAATTTTTGGTTGTATAGAATGATTATTTGTTATATCAATGATAAATGAAATATTACCAATAGAATTTATATCAACAGTTGTTCGTTGCATTGGTAATGGTAAACGTTTTGGTAATGAGTTAATTGTTAATTGATTTGAATCTATATTAATAGTTAATAATTTTTTTGTTGAACGAAAATTTGGAAAACCATAATCGCTTGCTGTTATTTCAAATGTATAAGACAAAAATGAACAAGATGTTTTTGATTGAATATAAATATAACCAAGTGATGTTATATTCAATATTAAACATGAATCAAATGAACATATTGAATAATGTATAATACCTTGCAAACCAGAATCATAATCATAAGCAAATATTCGACCAAGAATTGTATTCGGTTGTAATATAGATTTTGAAAATGTCCAATTATATGATTGATTTCGATCGAATTCTGGTGAATGATCATTTAAATCAAGAATTCGAAGTATTATTTTTGTTTGACTTGATAATGATAATTGTCCATGATCTCGAACTTGAATATAAAATTCTAAATCAATTGTTGTAGAATTTTTTTCTTGATGAAATTTTTCAAAATCAATTGATTGACTTAAACTTATTTGTCCTGTTTCAGAATTGATTATTAACAAATCTGTTTTATTTAATAAATGATATTCAAATTCAGCATTTATACCTATATCACAATCATAGGCATTTAATGTATCGATTATAAGACCAATGGGATTATTTTCATTGATATTATATATTATTGAATTTGTTACAATCTGTGGAATACAATCATTTATATCGGTTATATTTAATAATATTAATGATCTTGTATGTAATGTTGGTGTACCAGAATCATGAGCGATTAACTGAATATTATCATAGATTGATTTTGATTCACGATCAATATTTGTGTGAAGAATTAAAGAATAAAGTTTAGTATTTTGAAAATTATTTTGATAGATTAATTTATATATTAAAGGTAATGGAGGTTGAATTGTTGTTAATTGTAAATATGGATTTCCATTAGCTAAATAAAATAAATAATTGTTCGTTTTTCTTGGTATAAACTAAAATGTTACGGAACATGTAACTTGAATGAGATAATAGTCTATCTTACATCAACGTATTTTGTTTTCTAATTATCTATTATTATTTCATTGTCGATAAAATAATAGAAATGATATGGATAAATTCACTCGTTGGGTGACGTAACTTGGCAAAATTACAACACGTGTACTTTGGATTAATGAGCTTTCCTACAGTTACAAGCCTTTGTTCAGATGAATTATTAGTCAAAACTTGTTAGTGAAATCCCTGTAGAATTATCGAAGAATGCAATAAAGACTCAGTTTATTTATTGAGGGAACAGAGTTTTACTTAGATGTCTATCACGGTCTCGATGAAGAAGAAATGGTGCTAAGAATGTCTGTCACGTCCATGGGAGATCCAAAGTTCTATCCCTATACTTCAACACTTCTGTTAGACCGTGTTTCAGAAAAACTAGCGTTAGCAACGTGACACAAAAAAGGGTATCGACTTTGACTTCATGTATTTTAGTTTAAAAAAAAACTTTGAATTTAGACAAAACTCAATAGAATATTTTATAGAAAAGTCTTAAGGCTATAAAATTTTCATCCAATATATTTTTCTGAGCAGGTCTAGGTTTTTCAAAAAACTCGGTTTACTTTCGCATTAGTGACATGATGCACTACGAAAAACTGCTCCTACAAACGAACGAGAAGTTCAAAACTAATTTCAAACAGTACAAATGCTTGTTTAAAATCTCTAGATAATGGTAAGACAGAAAAGTTTTGTTTCGCGACTTTGTAAGATCTCTGTAGAACCAAATTTCAAAAGGAAGACTTTTCAAGTTCGATCTTGCTGAAAACTTCATCATAGATGCAGCTCATGTCGTAGAATCTATTCTGAAGTTTTTGAATCTATACAAAAAGAGTTTATTCAGACAGATAATCCTTGTTAAACTTACAATGGATATGTAGTGTTCGGTCTAAAATGGTCAAAATATTACTCACGACGAAACACTTGTGCATCGTATCTTTTATTTAAAATAGAGTTTATGATTACAATGAATTTACATGAATGTACATTGATGGTATAAGAGTACACGCTTCTAATACAATGTATTCATATAACATTTATTAACAGATCTTCATCGGTTATATTCTTTTATTTAGCATTTAATATTGAATCATGTCAAAAACTAGATTTTAACCCTTATTTTAATAGTATTGAGCTAGTATAATTATTTGTTGCCGTTTTAATAGTTACATTATATTCTTGCTGTCAATTTATAGTTTTCAAACTCGTGCGAGAATCATCAACAAGAATGTAAAAGATTGGCATTTTTTCCAATAATAATTGCGTCAATGTTCGATCGAAAGACTACTGATAACATGAATAGGTATGAGCAAAATTGAAACTAAGTACCATACGATCAATGCTCAATGGATGCAATTACAAAAGTTGGGTGAACTTTAATTTTTGTCTATCATATTTGGATCTAAATTTAACTATGACAAGATTTATTTTTTTGTTTCTAACTATTCTAATAGTTTGTTAACCTGTACATCAGTATCTCCTATACTTAGGTTTTTCATGAGTAGGAATATTATATTAGTTTTCAATTCTCTTCTATATTAACTTTGAAGAAATGATATTCCATTGTTGCATTAGATCTATCAATAAAGTAAACAAATTATTTACCAAATGAATCAAGATCATTGAGAATAACATGTGCTAATGTTGTACCAACTAATGTATCTTCAGGAATCGAAAAAATATTTTTATCATTTTGTGTTTGTTTTAATGTTCTATTTTCTAAATAGAATTTTTATTATTTCAATTTGAAGTTTTTCTCCATTCTTTTTCTTTTACGCTTTACCTTCAATTTTCATATGAATTAAAACAGGATTGTCATTAATGTCGATAATACGAATAAATATTATTGCATAAATAGGTATGAACTTGTTATAGGCTTTTACTGTTAATCGATATGATTTTTCTCTTTCATAATCTAATAATTTTTTTAATTGAATACTTCCCGTTAAACGATCAATTATAAATGGTGATTCAGTTAAAAGTTCATAAAAGATCTTTGCATTATTATCACTAATTGCTTCAATTTTTATTAAACTTGTACCAACTGAAGTATCTTCACGAACATCAATGCTATAAACAGATTGAAGAAATATTGGAATTGAATCATTTATTATACGTATATCAAGTTGAATTGAACCAGTACGTGGTTTAGGTTGTTGTCCATCATCTGACGCAGTTAACGTTAACAAATATGATGATATATGTTGACGATCAAGTAATGAGCGTACAACTAAATACGGTATGTCAATCGAAGTATAATCTACATAAAAATCATCCGAGTTCGCTCCATCAAGGGTATATGATTGAACACTATTTGATCCTAAAGCAAAATAACTCAAGTTTAATCGTTAATATATAAAAAGTTGTTAGTGCAATTCATGTGAGTTTAAAATGTGAAATATCGTCTAGCGACTATTACTAATCACAAGAAGATTGTTTTATTCTATCTATTTTGGGACACCATTCTTCAACATTCTTTTATTTAATCCTCCATAAATGCAGTAAGAAAGTAATTCATATATTATAACGAGACGTTATTGACAAACGGTCTTTGACGGGATGTCTAAAGACGATTTTCATTTGATAAGTCACATAAAAGCCTAGAATGATTTCGGTTTTCCGAGCCTTTGTTCTTGAGATAATGAAATTTAACTAGGTTTGTTCAATAAAAAGTTGTGATTTCCTTCAGATCGTGTGAAAAATCTACTTTCGAGTTCAATTTCAAACTTTGCATGAACATAGTTCTTAATAAGATTAATTCATTGAGCAAGTAATAACTTTTCTAGTATATCTTATCCTGAGATATTCAATATTTGAAATTCTATCATGTGTAGAAGCAAATTTTGTTCCTGTATTTACATCTCCCGAAAGGAAATACTAGTTACACAATCAACTAATTCCATTAAGAACTTTGTCTGAGCGAAAGTTGAAGTCGAAAGTCGATTTTTCACCTGATCTGAAGGGGAAAACAGCTTTTTATTGGACAAACCTAATAAAATTTCGGTATCTCAAAACACGAACGGTCAAAAAACTCAGCCAGTCTAGACTGTTCTATTACACGTTAGATGAATATAGTGTCGGCCGAAAATTGGTTTGACACCTAGAGGTAAAGCCCATCGGGTCGACAAATTTTACACTCGGATTCGAGACCAACCCGACAAGTTCTATCTGAAGAGATTCTGTTGTACGATGTATGTCACATCTGTAGAGGCGGATCGAAATTTCTCTCTCAATACTTCAACATTGACTTTCGATCGTGTTTAACAAAAGAATAAAAATAAACCTACCTTCATCAGGATCATTTGCAATTGGTAATACAATTCTATAGCCTAAAGGTACATGTTCTTTAATATGTATAATATGTATCATTGATTCATTATCAAATATAGGTGAATGATCATTTCGGTCTTGAATTTTAATTTCAATTATTTTATAAATAGTTGTTTGTTGAATATTAATAATAAGTTGATAGAATATTTCACATGAATTACATGAACATTGTTGATTTAAACACATTTGTTCACGATCAAGAATTGATAATGTTGTTAAATAACCAGTTTGATTATTGATTGAAAATAGATTTTTATTTATTGGTATTAGCTCAAATAATGAATATGATGCTAATGTTTTTATTTCTAAGTCATTTGATAAATCAACAATAAAAGTATTTATTGGAGATTTTTCTTCAACGACGTATTTAAAAATTTCTTCACTTGATACAGATATAATATGTATGGTGAGGAAAAAGACCATCAGTAACATGATGATGTATTCAAACTGAAAAATGAGAAGAGACATGTTTTAAAGAATGATGTAAGAAGAGAAGATTAATATGGCCTTCACATTCAATATGCTCAAACTTGAAAGAAAAAGAAAATGGAATGATGTCTTTTTTTAAGTGGATTGTTTCGTTTTTTTCGTGTTGTACAACTCTAATTTCAAACTTAGATATAGAACATATCCTTCGTTTACCTTAAATTCACGATAATAGTTCTCGGAATTACTTCATATTAGTATGTTTCTTCATCCGTAATAAAAATAAGATTGAATCATCTTACCAATTTGTTCATTTCTTTTTTTCTTCGCTTCAAACATATTGTTGTTAATACTAGGACAATTACTATTCTCAATAATCGATCTGTCTGGTATATAGTTAGTAGTCACTCTCTTCGTTCATATCTTTCAATCACTCAATATCATCGATTTCAAGTTGCTTTTTTCGAACAAATAGAAAAAAAAATGAAGAAGGTCACTTGACGCCCGTTGGGCAGAGAAGAGAGAGAGAGAGAGAGTGAGAGGAAAAAACGAATATTGAATTTGTCAATAGGTTTTATAATTGATGGCAATCTGAAATTTAATTGAACAAAATCAAACCAGCAAAACTTCTACTATTAATTTTGAATATTATGTTTATGAGAAAATAATATCGATACAAACTTTAGTCCTATTGTATACTACTGTTTTCTTTTTTCGTTCAATTTCAATTCATTCAAAGCTTTGCCGATCAACTCTTGAACAAGATGAGAAGAATCCACTTTATAGTTAAGTCAATAGAAAGAAGCATTGAACAATGGGAACTGACCTGTTTGCGAAAGAGAAAAAAAGATGACCATCAATACTACTACTACAATGATTGCCGACGGATAAAATGTATCTAAGTAGTGTGAATTTGTAAAGTGGCAAACCTTCTTCTTACCTTTCTATTCAAACGATAGTTAATACGTGTTTGAAAGAGCGGATATTTATATATGTATATATATATACATATGCATACACAAGGTTCGATCTGTGACGAAATTCTATTCATTAAAATATTCCTTTTTGATCTATACAGTTTTCACTCATTTACTCAACATGAAAAGTAATACACCGGAACTGCAACTGCTACATATATATATATATACATATATATGGTAGACTTCAGATAATCACTCAATCTATAGCAAAAAATAAACAAATTTCATTGATCGATAGAATTATCTTTGATGTAATCGTGTTAATGTTGAATAATAACAACACGTTTTCACTACTGCGTTATAAGCAATATGTATCGAACACCTTTAATATCGAATTATGCCATCGCTTTTCTTTTTACAGTCTGTTCACATGTTTATTCATCAATTATTGATTGAATACATAAATTTTATTTTCTCTGCATAAGTATTAGACACTTGATCAACAACAATTGAGACAGATGCGTATATAGTGAATGAAAAAAAAAATAATTTAATGAAACACTTGTCTGTCTTCGTTGCAGATGTTTTATTCGGTAATCCATTCTATTAATTGATGAGAAAGTTTTTTATTTTTATTTTTATTTTATTATATCATGAGGTAATAGTTATTCGGCTATATATTTTTTGTTTTGTTTTGAAAAGGAAATACAAATAAAGAAAAGATAACAATACAATTCAATCGTCTCAATCATATTCGTTTGCGCTTTTTGTCTGTATCACGTTTCTTTTCGGCTTCTTTTGCAACAACAGCCTATAAGAAATAAAATCAATCCATTATCTTTTAATTGAGAAAAAGAAGAAAAAAAAACAGAATACAACTTTATCCACAGCAGGTACAAATGTTCCTTGTGTTGCATATGCTTTGAGTAATTCAACAATGAAAGGTAACCAATTATGTCGTCGACGTAAATTTTCAACCTGTTACAAATATAATTTAATTGAATATAAAAAAAGAAAAGAACAAACAATAAGCAAAACTAACTCGATATGATTCTCTTTTACGTTCTTCTTCTTGAATTAAAATTGATAAATGAGATGTTTTAGCATTTCGTTCATCATCAGTTAATGCAGGATCTAATCAATAAAAAGAAAATCTAGTTTTATTTTTTCTTATCAAATATATTTTTTTTTTTTTTTGAGCAAAAAAATCTTCTACAGAAATAATTCGTTTAATCTTTATTTCAAAGAAGAAAAAAAACTTCATAGATATTGAAACATGAGCATTATACGACAATACAAATGCATGGTGTTTATGTACAGTAGAAAGAGGCTTATTCAATTTCAATTATTATGTAATTCAAAAAGGATTTAACTGAGTGTATTATAAAAACGATTTTTCTATTCAACTAGAAAAAAAAGTGAGACATAATGTAAGTGGAGGAGAGTGTGTGCCTCAAATGTTTTTATTTAAGATCGTCCGAATGTTTATTGATCTTCATCATGTTATAAGCTATTCAAATTTAACATTATTAAAAAAATGATCGTAGCTATTTTAAACATTTAAAAGGTATTCAAGAAAAAAAAATATATACAGATTTTGAATAGCTGATTTTCTTGGATGATGATTTCTAATTATTTTGTTTTAAATCTCTCTTTTTAATTTATTATACCATATTTTGATAGTATTTCATTAAAACTTATTGCAACAACTGACTGCTTTTTTTTTATTGAGATTGAATACCTCTTAGGTTTTTTTCGTTGTGTTGCAGTCTAATTTCTACATGATAAATTTTATTAATTTATATTTGAATGTCTATCATCGATTGATTGGTTTTTGTAATGACGCTAATTAACATAAATATACATTTTCTCTAAGAAAGCTGCTAATCACTTGAAAATTAATTATTGTTATTGAAAAATAAAATAACAGTAAATATGCTGCAAACAACATTTATTTTTTTAATTGTTGTATGCTTATAATATTCTCATTTCATATTATTCAATCTTAATCAAGACATAATTTTTGAAACATATCTCTAATAGAAATCTGGAAATTCTATTCAGATAAAATGTCTTACGAGGAAAGTCTTTCAGCTGATTAATTGCTTCCGAGTCGAGACTATGAGCAGTATGTAGACCCTAATGAACTATGAATACTCTGAAAAGAGTTCGAGTCTTTAGGTTATTCTTATCGAAATACTGCATTTTTACAGTATTTTCTAAATAAATGTTGTGGTCCTTCACAGAAACACTTCGAATTTCGAATTTTGATTTGAAACTTTCCATAGAGATTAAACTCACCGAGAATAGTTTATTGCGAAATTTTTAAATATTTTTGTTGTTCCTATCTTAAGATATAGCCATAATAAAAACTTGTCTTGTACACTGCTTATATATAGGGTAGGCCATCAATAGCACTGCGATAAAAAAATTCAAATATCTCTGCTTCGATTCACTTGAATGGGTAGCTGCTTCATTAGTCGTAGAAGTGTATTAAATTTTTTTTTTATATAAATAAGGTGAATAAATACTATTGTCAAATTAAACAAATTTCACATATTCTCAAGTAAGAAAAATACGTATAAAAGAGTTCATAGATATTTTTCAGTTGTCATCTAAACGAACAATATTGATGTACATAGAACAAGTTTTCAAAACGAGTAGTCAGTTTAAATGTTGAAATTCATGTGCGCTGAGAGAAACGTCTCTTTGCAGTTCCTTTTGGTCGCCAATTTTCTTGCAAAATCAATGTTCCATGTTTGAAAATTCAAAACTCTGTAATTGTTGACTCTTAAACTAGCGTGAAATGTTGTACAACAGACTAAACCTTTTTCTCGTGAATTCCACCAAAAAGTCATAGCACAATACAAAGTTTTCTAAAACTGTTCTCAACTCTACAAAGCTTTCAATAGATTAGTTTCGAATCTATTCTAATGAGACAGAAACCGGGTCTAGTAGGGTATATCTAGAAGTCATAGATCTATGATTGGTATATCTCATAAAAGTCATAAAGACATTAAAAGCAATATCGATGAGTTCAATAATAAGTTGATTCAAAATTGAACGTATATATATACGACTTTCATTCTCACAAGATTAATTTAAAACTAGATATGTTTCTTTTTTTTTCGTAAACAACAGAAGAATTATCGAACACATCAGCATGCAGAATAGACACAGTATTACTAATGAATCTTCAAGAGACAGGATATTAACGGTGATGTAAGATGTCTCGAGCGCATTGACATTGCTAGAAAAATCATATCATACTTTTCACTAGTATATGTATTATTAAGCGCGAAACTAAAACCAAAATGTTTTTTGCTGACCAAGATAAAGATAAAAAATAGGATTGGTCTTGCTTACTACAATCTAACAATAGTGCGAGATTAATACTATTAATAAGCTAATCTCTGTAATAAAAATGTTTCATTTCAAAATATGTCAAAGTTTTGGGGATATTATTAAATTTATTATTACCAGCTAATATTTGTTCCAATTCTCGTTCATATTTTCTGCGAAGTTCACTGACTACAGCCATTAAACTAAAATGAATTTCACCTTCACTATATCTTAAAACAGAAACAAAAAGAATATTTTATATAAACAATTTAACAAAGTTTATAAATCGATTTCTTTCTTTTACTTTTCCATACGTTGTCGAACAATTGGTCGAACAATATCAGTCCATTCAGTATCTTGCGGTATAGCACCATGATCAATTGGAGCCTTGAAAAATAAAGAATAATATTCTAATGTATATGATTTCATTTTTTTTTAAATACTTCTTTTAAACCATCAAGTTCATATAAACGACCTAAAAATTAAAAATATTATAAATTATAAACCAAGATAAATAATTACCTTTAAAAGGTATATAAGCAATAAAATGAAAAACATCTTCCTCTTTCTTTTCATCACGTGATTCAAATTCAAATAATTGTTGTCTATGAAAAAAAAAAAACAATTGATGTACTATTTAAAAAAAAACATGAAATATAAACCTTGCAAAACTATTGTGTACAAAACGAATTTTCTCACTATTTGATAAAGCTAAACCTCGCATCTATTGATTAAAAAAAGAAT